TCTCTATATAAGGACCTCAAAATTGGCACCAAGGGTTGTTGGTTCTACGGCGGTGACTGTCACGCACGTACGGTCTGAAGTTAGCGGACGTAACGGCTGCGGCTGTGAGGCCGCGGTGTTACCGTTTTCGAACATTGGTGGTTGACGGTTGCAAGAAACCCAGACTTATCGAAGCAGCCAAGAGTCTGGTGAGCACATCAAGAAAATCAACATCAACACTATGGCTGCGACTCAGCCGTGAGACAATGCAAAAGAGCCACGAGTTGTACAACGATTATAATGCACGTCATCAGAAGATCTGAGTTTCGAGCTCTACACCAAGAATCATCAGTACGATATGGTCACTATTTTCATCAGAAGAAGTGGTATGGTCACAGTCATCTCGACCGCAGTACGACAACGGAGTTGGAGTATTTTCAACGACTATGAAGACGAGCACTACTATTCCAAAGTACGGTCATCATCAACTCTACGGTCAGACCGGCCGTGAGGCATCTATATCAACGAGATACAACAGTTATGAAGAGAGAGCAACTGTGAAGAGAGACGCGCGGCTACAGCTGCAGTACCCAGGTATGGCCACTTGGAATACGGCTGTAACGTGCGGTGACAGCCGCGGTACGGTCGCTGAACATATGGCTGTACAGTCGTTTACAACAGTCGTACGGCTCAACGGAACTGCAATGTATCAACAATTTCTGGTAAAATTAGATGATTTTACATGATGATGATTTAACTGATAGATTTTGGACTTTGATTGTGTTCAGCTCACCTTTTACATGTACTAGAGATTTTTGTTAACGTAGGATGTGAACTTGAATTTCTCAATTAATATGAAATGTATCAGTGTTTCATTACAAACCTCTCTTTGTACTATATTTTGCTGTAACCTTTCCAAAAAGAGAACCTTTTCATACATGCCAATCAAGTGCCACTCGGCAAACCACCTGAACAAAACGATAAGTAAATGAATACCAGTATCTTGAACCTGAACCTGATCGTAACATAAAATTGGTGGAGTATTCACTCCAAGTGTCCAACCTTAAAATATATGATACGATATGAAACTATAACTAAAATATTATTATATATATTTTTCTTAATCTAATCAATTCGTTGTTAACAAATGGGGTAATAAAATAACTTTATTTAATTTGGCATGCGTATTAATATATTAGATGCCATTATTTATCTTTAAATCATTTACGAAGCCTTTCATAACACACCTACAATTACTGTGTAAAAGTGAATGATTCACTGAGAGAAATGGGTGGTCTGGATGACCCACTTGGATGAGTCAACCGTGTACGAATAGCAATGCACTTTTTCGACTCACTTGCCCCATTTGTGGATTATACTGACCTATTTCAGGCCCTTTAAATTTCAGGTATGACTTACATGTGGCGATTGGTCGCTCTGATGCCCAGATGCTCCCTATGTATCCATGCTACGGGTGGCGTCAAAAACAATTTGATGCCACAAGAGAGTCATGCCTGAAATTTAATGGGTGGATTGACATTCGGACACAGTTGACTTATCAAAGTGGGTCATCCAGACCCACCCATTTGTCTCAGTGCTCATGAGTGGAGCGATACATGTCAAAACTGATTTAGTACATTTGTTTGAATATGAAAATTAATTCAGAAAACCTTTGAAAAACGAATAATTAATATTGACTATACTACATTGTGTATATTGTATTTGTTGATACAAACATAATTTCGTTTGTTAATAAGAAGAAAATTTCTACTGAAGTAAGTTTAAGATTTGACCCATGACCCATGTACGCCGATGATTTCATCAGACAACAACATATGCCTAGCACCATATTGAACCCGGTGGAAGTCGAGTAGCTATTTCAAACTTTCGTCAGTCGTGAAAAGATATGGTTAAATGACACAATCTTAAATCTGTGAACAAGGCACAAAAAGGAAAAGAATCGGTGACAGGCCACATCAGGCCTACACTGCAGTGCCGAGATCACTATGTTATGTTAAAACATATGATGGTTGTTACTAAAACATTCCTTTCTGTTTCAGGTATGTTTTTCACAATATTTTTTTTTATAGTAAATTCACTTAACCCAATTAAAATGGTGTAAAATTACAAGCCGTCCTGTAAGCTTACAGATACAGAAAAAATGCTATAAGGCTGCTGATATGAAGCTTGCAGTGGTCAAGGTATGGTAGTTGAAATGCTCAATGGCCTGTTCATGGATACGGTAATATCGCATCAATAATACAGTAATTAATGTATATGGTAATATCATATCAATAAAGGAAAAACAAGTAAAAATCACAGAAAATGTCATTTATTCTACCTCTACATCATCTACAATGAAAGAGGAGGACTTCAGAGTACTGTTAGTAACAAAGAGCTTTGAAATGAGCCTAAACTTGTTTATGAAATGTTTCATGGTAAGAAGTTATGAATGAAAAACGTTCAAAATTGTCCCTAGTAGCCCCGGTTGATGGTAGCCCTCGCAAAGAGCTTTAAAATGAGCCCTAACTTGTTTATGAAATTTTTAATGGTAAGAAGTTATTAACAAAAAATGCTCAAAACCGTCCCTTATTACTCCGTTTGATGGTAAACCACACTCCTGTTGTCACACTTGGGAACAACTTCAGTATATTGCTTGGACAGAAATTGTTTAATTTTAATTAACACCAGATGCAATGAAAAGCCATGCAATTGAAAGGTAAGTTAACATACATCGGTGCCATAGTCGTGCATTCAATCTCTGTGATGTTGGTTTGGTTGATAGGAGCCTTGTTAGCTCCTATCAAGTATAATAGACACAGTGACTTGAGTATATTGCAATTGATGGCAATTAATGAGGATTCATACCTCAAGTCAAGGTATTCTGGCTGGTATCAAAGCTAGGAAGAAGATATGAAGCTCTAGTGAGCATACCAGGACAACTACACAAGCACAGTTAATAATGGTGATGTGTTGATATAATATTTCACTGGAACTTTGAACTGGAAGAGTTTAAATTCTTTATATATTTGAACACCCTAGTAATGGTCATTTCTTCTCAGTAAACTCAATTCTTCAATACCAGAATCAAGAGGAATATTGTGTCCATGGCAGAGGAACCTGGCTATCATAATTTTTCAGCAACTCTCACATGGCTCCAGTCAGTAATCAATGGCATTATGGGATACATTTTGATAAGGACTAGGAGTTTGATGATTGATTATCAGTGGTTATTTACATTCAATTTGAATCAGTTATGTATATGATGTCAGTAGTTATTTACATTCAATTTAAATCAGTTATTTATATGATGTCAGTATGTTATCTGAAATGACAGGAGATACAAGGGGCATGTAAAATAAAATTTGGTCAAAAATAGCCATACCAGTAGTAAGTGTGAATTAAAAAGCTATTTCTTCATAATTTTGATATGTATGAGTTTTAATGCATTTCTAAGCCTTAAAAATGTGTCCAGATAACTAAAATGTGTCTAAATGGTAATGAAAATTTATCAATTAACCGCGAGATTGGTCCATGTTGAACATTTTCTTTAGAATGCCTAATAATTCAGTTGCTGGGAGAGTTGCAGCTCTGTCTTGTTCCATTCTCAACTTCCTCAACTCGTGTAGTATATAAATCTTTTAGGCTTTTCAGACTTCACTAGTTCCCATATTCACTAATCAAATTTTTAAATGTGTTTAAAAAGAGAGAAATTATATTTGAATAATTGGTACCTCATTTTTCTCTTCAAATTCTCAGAGATTCTTTATTTTATGATTCTCATTATTTAGTTGATTTGAAAATTTATGAGTAATACCATAAAATGGGGTAACTTTGACCACTATTTTTCAAAATGATGTAATTTTTTTTACTAGATATGTTAAACTTAAATTGAAACATGCAAAATACAGGTCTATACTCTAGCTTCACTCACCCTAAATTGCTGGCTCCTGCCTCTCATAGTTTTGATGTAATGTGAAAAAAAGTGATGGTCTTTGTTACCCCAGCTCCTGGGGTTTCTTTGACTGCGTGGTAAAATTAATTTTATTTTTTGGTAAAATAACTCCAAATAACTCCAGGTTTTGGTGCATTGTAGTAGAACTCTTCTAGTTACATATGCAAATGACAAATTTTAGGATTTTAGGAAAGTGTCATAGTTTGCAAATTGGGGGCCCCGAAATGTGACCACCCAATGGGCGAAATGTGACCACCTAATGGCAGCCGTGACGGGGTAACATTGACCGGCTTAGAAATTAAGTTAAAATTACCATATATAAGACTCTGTAGAGTCTGAAACATGAAGAAAAAACATTAATAGGTGTATCAAACATAAAATATGTTATATAGGTACCTATGGTAATTTTAACTTAATTTCCAAGCCGGTCAATGTTACCCCATCATGGCTGCCATTAGGTGGTCAGAGTTCCCCCATTGGGGGTGGGGGGCGGTGCCCCCCCCCATTTGCAAACTATGACACTTTCCTAAAATTTGTCATTTGCATATGTAACTAGAAGAGTTCTACTGCAATGCATCAAAACCTGGAGATATTTTACCAAAAAAATAAAAAAATTGGAGTGGGTACTCCGACAGGCTATGAATAATAGCTCTTTTTTTTGGGTCACATTTTTAATTTTTTAACCTATTAGATATGCAAACATTTTAAATCTTTCTATTGTGTTACGTAGCCTCAGTATTAGGCCTTTAATGGCCATTGACAAAATTTTTCTATGTCGAATAGTTTTTGAGTTTTGGGGGTTTTTGTTAAAAAAATGAAAAGTGGTCAAAGTTACCCCGGGAGTCAAAGTAACCCCATTTTACGGTATCTAGGGATAAAAACCTCGGTGAACAAATCTATAAATGCAGAGTATAAATGCTTTTTTAGTATATTCATTTCTAATTTAGAGGTTCAATCTTTTATAATTATTTAAGTCTCTTCATCTGCTTGTATTATTCTTGAGGTGGATTACCTGTTTGCTGCTCTATTTGTGTAAATCTTATGCTAGTATTCTTTTATGGTTTAACAGATGTCATACATACATTCTTGATAGCTTAGAACAATGCCAATATTGCAAAGCAGTGCCTAAGCTTAGGAGCTTCTCTGATTTCCTGGCCATGGAACTGAAGGTTTGGGTGGATGGTATTCAAAGGATTGTTTGCGGTGTTACCCAAGCCACCACGTGCCAGGTTAGTGAATAATTTCTCATCATTATTCAGTCTTTATTTAATTTATACTGTACCACCACACACTATAGTGCAAATTAGGAATTCAAGAAGATTGAAGTCAACATTTTCTATATTTCAAGAAAATTTTTCTCTTGAATAGTCATTTTTTATATTGCAAGAACATATTTCTCCCTAGAAAGGAAGTTACCATATAGCCTAACTTGACTTATCTTCAGCCAAAACAGTACCACCACAACCCCTAGTTTATGTGGGTGAGGCATCACTGCCATGTATAGCTCTAGTTATCACCAATGGTCTGCTTATTGTTCCATGCAATAGTTTAAGCAATACTCAATACTACAATAATTGAGAAGTAAAATAAAATCATTTGAAGAGAAATTGTCACCCATGAACCAAAATTGATACTAGATTAGCACCTATTTAAAATGTAGATCAAGTAATTTCTCCTTGTGTAATATTATTAACATGATAAAGCATCATATGAATGCATGACAATTTTCCTTTTTAGTTGTGTATTAAATTTTTGACATTGCAAAATATTTCAACTTTAGTTATCGTGTATGATTCATAAATTGTTTGCAATTATCAGAATTTATAATTTGTGATTTTTTTTAATAAGAAGTACCAGGGGCAGAAATTATGTCTGGCTGTATAATGGTTCTAGGCTCTTTAGTTGTAATGGCCTTTATTCAGTTTAAATTAATTTTAAAGACTTGGGTCATTCAAAGTATGAAAATGAATTTATTTTGGTTTTGCAGGATGTTGTGTTTGCCCTGGCACATGCAACCAGCACTACTGGCCGCTTCACTTTAATTGAGAGATGGCGCAGCAACGAGCGCCTTTTGGCACCATCTCAGCATCCCTTAAAGGTTTTTAGCCTTCCTAGTTGTTTGTAGTAAAGTGGAATTAAGGTTTTCTTGGCATGTTGCAATGAAATAAATTTCACCAGATAATGTTGTTGTTGTTGTGGTTGCTGTTGTTATTGATGCCCCATGCCCAATCCAGCCGAGGCTGGAGCCAACGCATAACCACAGCCAGTTCCATGGTCTATGGTGTTGAGGGGTGTTGGGTTGTTAGGAGGGCAGGCAAATTGGTGGGGTATGTCATCCATAGAGAGATAACAGGGGTTGCTCATGTTGCTGATGTTTATTCTGCTTTTGTAGCTGTTTAGGAGTATGCAGTAACTGTAGTGGAGTTGTGCCAGCATCTGTCTTGCAGATCTTGGTTCAGATTTGCCTATTATTGAGTGGAGGAGGCAAGCCGTTGAACAGTACCAATGTGTGGTACAAGTCGAAGGCAGCTCGGGCAGTGTTGTAGTGAAGGATGCTACAGGCTGTTGTGAGGGTTGCACTGTTGATGTTCATTAGGAGTACTGGCTGAACAGCATTGATGTATTTGGTGTTAAGAGTGTCTCTTATATCGCGGGGTTAGTGGAGAGGTCTTGTCTTAGTGGCTAGCATGTGGGTTGTGGCATTGCAGAAGGTATTGGGCAGAGAGGAGAAATGTGTTGCTGAACAAAGAGCAATAGACTTTCAGAGAGATGTTGTTTGGTGGTAGTATTGTGGCAACCGGTTATTGATCACAGAACTGAGTTTAGAACTGTTTGGAGGCTGTGGTGTTGGTGGAAAAGGTGACAGGAGACCAGATTGGGCTAGGGTAGTCTACTATTCGATGGTGGCTTGGTATATTTGAAGTAGAGTTTCCTTATCTTGTCCATAGGAAGTGCCTTAAAGGGCTTTCAGTATTTTGTTGCATTTTGAGTCTTTTCCTGCTGTGGTTTTATGGTGGGCGGTGAAGGTAAGCAAGGTATCAAAGGCTAGGCCAAGGATTTTTGGGTTGTGCTCCAGCGGAAGGAGTTGGTTTTTGATATTGATTTAAGGATGGTAGTTGTACTGGGCCATGTGCAGTGTTATGAGGGTGACTGTCAATTTGGTGGTAGAGATTCCCAGGTTTTGGTGAGTGAAAAAATTGCAGAGTTGTAGGAGATAATCAGTTGAGTTGTTTGGGGAGAATGTTGGTGTCAGGATCAGTGCTGTAGGTTGTGAAATCGACGGCATGGGAAATGATTTTGATGTTAGGTGGTGCTTGAGGTGCTTTGGAGACGTAGTAATTGAAGGGAAGAGGTGACAGAACAGAGCCCTGAGGGACGCTTGTGTGGATAATTTGCTGTTTTGATGTTGGATGACGGAATTCTGTTGAGGCCAAATGACCGTGCAGGTAGTTAGAGATCCAGCAGGGGAAAGATCTCATTAGTGGGGAGGAGAGGAAGTCGTGGATAAAAATCCGGTGGTTGACGGTGTAGAAGGCTTTGGTGAGGTCCAGAGTGATGAATAATGCTCAATGAGCAGGCCTCCTTTTGGTTCAGCTGGGATGATGTTTGTAGTAAGAAGGGTGAGCGCAGTCATGGTTGAGTAACCGGGTCAAAATCCATGTTGGTGATTGAATGGGGACAACTAGAATAGGGGCAGTTGTTGAGTGATAATGGGTAGCAAGCACCGTTCCGGGACTTTGATGGCAAGGCAAAGCAGTGAGTATTTGTCTGGCTTACCAGGTTTGAGCAGCGGACTTTGGTGGACTTGGGCAGACTTGTAGATTTCGAGTATTTGGCATGTTTGGAGAGACTCTTTGAAGAGGTGGGTCAAGTAAGCAAAGTGAAGGAATTCCGAGGGGTTCCAGGTATTTGATGTGAAAGATGGTGAGTTAATCTGGTCAGGTGGCCTTTGAGGGACTGGATAGTTTGATTGCATTGGCCACTTTTGCCGTTGTGAGGGAGGGACTGTTTGCAAGACTAAAGTTTTTTGACTTCCTGGTTGTGATTGTATTGAGTTTGTTGGACACGTGTTAAGTGAAAGCCGTGAAGAGACTGTTGAAGCAATCAGCTCGATTTTTGTTGTTATTGATGGCATTTCTGGCAAAGTTTATGGCGTAAGTTGGGTACTGTATTGGTTTACCAGTTAGGGCCTTTATTATTGACCAGAGGTGCTTGACGTTGGTATGGCAGTTGAAGGTAGAGAGGTGTTGTTTGCACCGGGGTTTTTTGATGTCATTGGTGAGCTGGTGGATATGAGCAGAGAGGGCTGTTACGTCGTCGGAAGTGGGGTCGGCAACACGGAGGTTGTCTATCTGTCGGGTGAGGTTTCTGATATTTTTAGAGAGGACAGGTGTAGAGCAGATGTGGCGGCCTGAAGGAATGTTGTGGTTGCTTGCAGTGATTAAAAATTTTTACGAAACTGTTGTTCGGCTGTTGACAACCTGGCGGGAAATTCAAAGTATTGAAGGCAGCTTTAGTATTGGCAGTGTATCTTTTCCAATTGACATTGGTGTAGTTTGTTAAGGTGATTTTCAGGGTTTTAGTGACCTGACTGTCTGCTTGCAGTGTGATGTAGATTGGCAGGTGGTTGGATGATAGAGTGGTCCTGGTGGTCCAGTCCATGTTGGTAATCAGGGTATCCTGGACGATCGATAGGTCTGGCTTGGACAGTTGTCCTATGGTTGGAAGTTGCGTTGGTGTGTCCATGTTTATCTTTGAAGTTTGGTGGCCAGGAGGCTTAAGGTGGAATATTTTTATATAGATGTTGATGATGTTTAGATCAGTGTTATTGGCATTTATAATTCCAGCTTGTTCTTTGATTGTGTTATGGTCTGGTAGAGGTTTAAGTGTAGAAGCAAAACTGTTGTGGATCAGCATCATCAGGCCTCTGCTTCGTCCCATGCTCTGATCTATTCAAATGGTAGAAGGCAAAGTTGGCAAATTTTGGGTCTTTGGAGCGGGAAGACAATTTTGTTCCATGGATAGCCGCCAGTAGAAGCTGTAAGCGGCCTAGAAGTGTTAGATTTGGTAAAATTTGTTCCATAATCCGTTGCAGTTAGATTGGATAATCCTCAAAGTTCCGGTAGGTGGTTACCCATAGTTGAGAGTTCGTAGTTGAGAAACCCTGTTTGTACCTGCTGGAGTTGCTCGTTGGGCTGTGGGTTCCAGGGTGGTGGGATGGGCCCTGGGTAGTCAACACGTTTTTCAACAGGGAATCGTCAGGTAGAAGTGATGTAATAGTTATAATTGAATATAGTAAAATATAGTATAGTAATCCCAATATTCCTAATTTAATCATTCCTAATCCATTTAATGATTTTAAAACGAAGGATTTATATTAGAAAGAAAGACCCTTCAAAACCCACTTTTAGCACAGAGCTCTCATTCAAGTCCTGCTTATGAATTCAAAGCAAGTTCAAATTTTTTATCTTAAAATAAAATTTATTGATATCGAAGTACAAATCATATTTTAACTATACGACGAATCCTTGGCAGATTCTTCAAACAACATAACTTCTGGAGACAACTATCTAAATTGGGTGAAATTTGTGTACTGCTTTGGTTTGTAGAGTAGGTATGTCATGGAACATATGTTTTTTTAAGTGAATGAAGTGTTTATTTGTATATTGATATTATGTTAGTATTTGACATGGAGGTGCCTTTGCAGGTATTGCTGAAGTGGGGAGAACACGCAAGCGATGTGCAGTTTATTCTACAGCGCACTTCTTTGAACTATAAGAATGGCCACAACTTGAGCAGCAGAACTCCTATCAGCCCTGAAGCTGATAGTCCTGAACTACAAATTGACTCAGAGAGTGGCCAGCAGCGGCACTTACAAGCAGCTACTCGTAATAGAAACCACATATGCAATAACAATAACACACATGGCGATGGCTTGTCTCCCTCATCTAACACGCCAGTTGGAGGCGCTCGAGACATACGCAAATCCTTGACGTTTAGTGGTGCAATGGTGTCACGGGAAGCTCGTGCCTCGGGCAGAGGGGTGCCATCTTATGACTCTGCCAAGGTAGAATATTCCTCTGCTGGCCTGCCAGACGTAAGTAATGTAAAGTTTGGTGCACCCTCTGCCGTGTGTGTGTCAACTGCCATACATTTTATGGATACTAACACCAAACTAAACTCCTCTAATATTACCGAGATGAGTTCTTTATCCCCTGCAAATTTTTCTTCTCGTCAGCATGAGCTACAGCAACAAGGAGTGTTCCTATCGCATGAGCTGCTTCCTGCATCAACTTCCCATCACATAAGCGGGACACAGAATCAATTGCCGCGTAGTAATCCTCATATAACTTCTCGCAGCTCCCAGCCATCTCCTTCCAGTCCTGCCTCGTTCTTTCACGACCGCCATTCCCCTCTGAAAACTCCTCCCATCATCCCACCCTCTGGTACGAGGCCCCCTGCACCCCCTCCCTATGAGCAGGTGAGAGGCTACCCTCCCTCGCCACCGCTCTATGGCGGCTCCATCAGAAGAAGAGGATATCGACATTCTCCTTCAAAGAGCGCTGTTCATCACATGAGACAGCATTCTTCTCCTGCACTGCCGTCATGTAATCAAGACGCGGTTGCTGCATCCTCAACAATAAGAACATTAACTTCAGGCACGAGCAGTAGCTTTTACACTCCTCAATACATGCCCAGTAACATGAGTGCAAACTTTCATTCCTCACAAAATATTAATCCTAACACCAACCCACTTAAGTTGGAGTATTCGAGATCCGATTCGCCGAATTACTATTACAGTTCTCCGTCTTATACTCAATCACGTCATCAGAACAATGAGCGATTACAATCCCCAACCTCCCATCTCTCTTCAGCTGACAATCGCACCAGCAGTGCAAACGAGCCTAGGCAATGTAACCAACAACAGGAATCTCCTTATGGTTATGCCAACAGCAGTCCCCACAAAGCCTTTGTAGCTGCTGGTCAGGTGTTACATTCTCCAAAAAATGATAATTTTCCTATCGTATCCAACTCTTCGGTAGGAAATTGTAGCAAAGTAAATGTATTTCATCCATCAACGCAAAGTAGTAATATTGTTGATGAGAATGGCTGTGCTCGACGTAGTGCATTTAAGGCTATCTCAAATAAATCTGAAGTAACTGTCCCTCAAAGAATGCTTCCCCCTTACCGACCACCTCCACCGCCCCCCTCAGCAACTAAAGTGACGCCCTCAACCATTGGGGGCCATTGCATGTCATCAGACGGGCGACATGCACCCACCACTTCTTCACCTCTTGTACTGACGACAGTTTATGGAGGCAGACATGCGTTGAGTCATGGCTCCATCTCTCCACCGTCTGCTCTTCACCATCATAAAAACAATGTAGTTCCACCATCTCCGACCAGTGAAAATAATGCGTCATTATCCTATAGTTCTGTTACAAATCATCGTGTAGATGATGGTAGCATTTTTAGCAAAGGAAAGAATAGTGTTATGGTGTCAAATAATGAACTGGTGGCTTCGTCTCGTACAGTTGCAAGCGGACAGACCGCGTGGCCAAAACCTAATCATTCATGTGATAGTCATCTTAACAGCCCAAATTCTGGATTGTTGCTACTGAAGAACTCGACTACTGAGCTAAATGGATACGATTCCAACTGGCAACTTCGAGAAAGTATAAAAAAATCTAACTTTAGCAATGGGCAATTGGATTCAACTAACTCTGGAAACGGCTTTCTCATAACCAGCAGTAAAAGCGTCACAAACTCTTCAAGCAGCTCGGTGGTATCTCTATCAAAATGCAGTAGCAGTCCTTCTGCATCGTCACGTTCAGAAACGAAGATCGATGTCACTTCATCTCCAAAGAACCCTTATATTCATGGATTTGAAGAGGTGCATCATTCCATGCAAAGCAGTATTGTTAGCATCAACGGCTCTGCGTCCATAAACCACGTTAGAGCAAACTCTGTTCCTGGAAGTAGTTCGTCACCTTGCAAGAATCTTGCCTCGCGTACATCGCCGTCTGGCCTGCTTGAAGATTCCGTCCTCTCTACTGAGCACGAAGCTGTTGTGACATCCAATTCACAGAACTGGATGAACGAAAGACTTGAAATTAGTTCTACAAACACCAGCGGAAAAATCGACCATAATGTTGCCGAATCCAAGAATGAGAGTAGCAAAGAACGTGGTGCAGAGGACGCAAATTATCTTTCAAAAGTGTCCGATAGTAGCGTGGAGGCAGCGACACATGGTGACTGTAGTGTTGAGGGTCGTACCAAGCTAATTCATGATGAGGTGAGTACCTGCACTATTAGATAAGAAACATTAAAACTGACCTGTTTTGTGTGTTAAATGCATAACTGTTCCTGCAAGCTGTTTGATAAAGTGGAAGTTGTGTTGCTTGTTGATTGTGTTATGCCTCGTAACAGTTGCAATGTTAAACTCCCACATAATTTTCGTATTTTCATTTCACGAAATTATTTTTTTCTTTATTTCTGAAATAGCATGGTTAATTTCTATTGCGTCAATTGGATATTTATGTCAAGAACAAAGTTTAATTTATGTTTGTTGGTGAAAATTGTGAAATCATTTTTCCATGTTTGAGCTCCTATTCTAGGGTAAATTTTTTTCAGTACTTCTGGTTTCAAGTATCAACAGTGTAGTCATTCTAAGCCATTTATATTAATTTTAGCCCTGAATCGTAGTACATTTAACCTCACAAATTTAAAGTGAACGCACCTAATTTCAGCGTAATTACAAGGTTAACATAAAAGATTTAACTTCCCAGGAAGTTTCGTATAAGGAGTATTGTGGCATAGAAATTTCAAGTACCAACTAGTTCCAAATTCTTTTTATTTTCAAATATTGTTTAATAAACTTTGCCATCACGAAAGAAGTTATTCAAATTCAGGACGTTGTCAAGATTCATCATCTAAGTTGTATTCCCATAGTTGATGTGTTGGTTGACTGCCGTAGCCGTGTGGCCCGAGTATAAGTATGCCGTTTGTTTCAGGAACTCGAGGAAGCGGAGGAGGAAGAGAGCGGGAGGAGTCCATCTCCTCAGGGCCACATATTCCCTCCCACTGAGCCTGCACCTTCGGTCATGGGGCGACAGGTCAGTGCGCGGGACTAGTTATTTCTATATATTACTGCATATGAATTCTGATTTTTTTGCTATCTAAATTAATGATATTAATCTTTTCGCGAAAAAAATTCATTCTAAATTAATTAATGTGTTTATAATAAATTTCTATTTGGTCCTTACTAAATCAGTTGAACGTACTGTTACTGCTGAATCGAAGACAGCTATTAGTGGTTTCCTAATTAATTTGATTTATTCATTTCTTGTATTAAGGCATTAGTTGCAGCCCGTATATGCGTATTCAAATAAATCCATGTAACTCTGTCCTGAAGGTGGAACACATCGTGCTGGACAACGTTCATCAAGACTTGGTGGCGCTCGTCAACCAGCAGAGAGATCAGCTCACCGGACAACAAATACAACTTACCAAAGTGGGCTATCGTGCACACCATTTTTATTTACTTATGCTCTGAAATACTTCTCTCATTGAATTGAATTGAATTTTCCTTTTAAAGATGTTGTCATCTGTACTCCAGAGATGTAATGTTAAAAAAAATTTGATGCATCTAGTCTCAACGATCTCTCAGAAATCATTATTTATTTGCAGTTTGAAGCAGAAATTACGTATTTAGAAGGGCGCTGGAGAGAAGACCAAGCTAAGCTTGACTTTGCTCATTCAGAAATGGAACGGCTTTCTCTGCTGCATCAAAAGGTAATGTTTATGTATATGTGTATCTCGTCTGAAAGAATAAAATATAAAGAATATGTCAGTTTTAACTTCATATTTACTTTTATAACAGATGGATTGAAATCGATTAAAGAGAAATGTAGAGATCTTACTTGACTTGGTAAGTTGGTATCAATTAGCATAAATTACGTCCTTAGTTGAAATCGGCTTGCGAGTTAATATGATCAATTATGTCAATTTTTTCATACATCAGAGATGTATTTCTATTCTCCGGGTCTTTACAATAAAATCTGTTGGAATTAGACGGAAAGTTACAGCTAAATTAGTTGGTATAAAAGACTCTGTTTAATTACCCCTATTTTCCAATGTCCAAATCTAACTTGATATTCTAGATAAAAAGTAATGAAATATTAAGAAGGAACTACTCACACTACTTCTTGGATGGTAGTGTGGGAATTTCACTAATTAGAAATTCGTGCGTTTCTGTGTCGTAAATGTTGACTTCATGACATGCAGCTGGATGAGGAACTTCGAGCCGAGGATCCCGACGCAGAAGAAGAGAAACTGAAGAGCGTCATTGACACCAAAGAGCGGCTGTCTCAGGAGATGATCTCCGTGCGTCAGCAGATACATCAGTGCGACGCCCAGATCGCTCATCTCACTTCCAATATCACGTATGGCCTGGTGCTTATGGCAACTTTATAGCTTATTTTGTTCATCTCACCTACTAAGTTGGTGATTTCTTGCCTTAAAATTTTGCGCAATCAAGATTGGTTCATAATTTCGTTCGTGCATACTACTAGCTTGATGTTGTGCATTTTTTATTGAAATCGGAGGACTTACCCCTAACAGGCACGTAAATAAACTGTACATCAATTAAATTCCCAGTTGTGCATGAACATCTGTATAGATCAAAGAATGTTGGATGCCTTGTTATGATAGTTGTTTCCATGCGCACAGATCACTGGAAGAGGAACTTCTGTCTCTGAAACTCGCGAACGATGAGAAGCTGCTCGAGATCGGAGAAGACGAGGATGGATTCGATTTTTATCCTCGGGACGCCGAGTATTCACAGAACTCGACAGAAGTACCATCGCCTGAACTTGCTAAAGTGGTATGGTGACGCAATTTTCTATATCGCCCATGCGAATTTTCTAATTTTCTTATTATAAGTAACTGAATCTGTCTAGAAATTTAGTACTTGCATTCCTGTCCGTTTGTTCAAGTAATTTGTCATATTTTCCAGTTAGAAGAAGTCGAGTCGGCGTTGGCTGGCAAACGTGAGCAAGTAGAGGAGCTCAAACGAGCGATGATGTCAGAAAACCTGGAGGCTCTCAGCCTCACGCCCCCTGATCGCCTGGCTGCTTCTCTCCACGCCCCTACGGGTGCCGCCGCTGCAGGTCAGTTACTCGCAGCTCTTATCACACCGGAGCTCACATGTATTTTAGCCTCAGCTGCTCCAATAATGCGATTTTCAAGATATGATCACTTTGATGCGATTTGTTTGATTCTGTGCTATTAATGTGATAGGTAGGATATGCTCTGACATGATATTGACACAATGTCATGTATCAGTACGATTGGAGTAATATACATACATTGACAAATTCAAAGTATGTAGCTTGACGTGACATTAAGTTTGGCAATAATAAATTATGCTCTATGCAATTGTGCACAGGTTTCACCAGTAGACTTCCATCTGTCAATCTTCACAATTAATAAAACACTTACATTGCCTATTCCCAGTTTCTTATAAGTATAATGTTACTAAGTTTATTATGCATCCAGCAGTGTGTGGGGTTTCCCGTCGGATAATCGGGTCGCCTCGTATGCTGGAAACCGCAGTCCCAACATCCAAGAATCCCCATGGCGTGTGGGTGTAAATGCCATCACTGTTGCCTTAAATGCAATTTGCTGTCGTGTAGTGCCGGTGGCTGCATACTCAGATCATTCAGCGCAAGAACTAAGAAGGCCTGAGCTGTTAAGCTCAGGCACCGGATGCTGCTCCAATGCACCAATGTCTCGCTTCAGCCATAAGTGGTTGCTTATCTTCACTAACTCGCATGCGCGCTGCCTTAACCACCTAGTGCTGTATCACCTCCTGTACATATCACTTGCCTTTATGAATGTATCCCATTTAATAAACATTAAAAGCCCTTGAATGCATTTTAGGAGAAATACTTTCGTTAATAGTGTTACATTAATAGGTAAGGTTCAGTTCTGAGCCGCCTCGAGTTGCCACGAGGGGGAACATCTGCCATAATTAGACGTTTAGCTGTGTTGTGTAATCATTATCTTGCCTAAGGCTGGTCCTGTAAACTTAAAAATGACCGATTTTTGGTTAATTTTTGCTTTCAGAGTTTCTAACTTCATTTAATTTTATTATTGTGAACATATTATTCTCATGATTATACTTCTCTTCTACGAGGAAAATATCCAAGTGTTCTCTTACATTACAATTCACTATTTTAACGCAAGTATCTGTTCACAATTATTTGTCATGCTTCGATTCTAATTTCTCAGAATTGGAATGCCGAAATTTTGTGAATGTATGTACTCCACCATTACCGTTGAGATATTTCTTATCTTTTTGCCTAGTGCAAACATTTAGTTCTTTATGTGATTAAGTTATGCATTATAATTTAAAGCTGATTAGTATAGGATTGATGAAATTTTTGTCAGCATTTAATTTTGATGAAATCATGTTAGCCAACATTTTTTTCACTCAATTCTAAGAATTTTGTCTATCCCAAGACTAAGGGGCTCAGGTCCGAGAGCACCGCTACTATTGATATTCAATTGATATTAATTAAACGACACATCCTCTTATCATTATCATAGACTTGTATTTGGATGTTTTATTCACTTTTAAGCTCCTCTTAATTGTGTTGGCTTCAAAGAATCTGTATTCGGGACTGCATTTGCGAGAGATCGCCGATGGAGGTACCATAAGCTGCCTCCAGCCCGGTATGGGGAGCACTAACCGGTGAAGTGTGTGTGGTTATGGGGCAAATTTACCAAGGTGTAACACGATGATCTGATGAATTTCGCTTTAAAATAATCATTATTAGTTAATGTTGTTTTGAGGAATGAGCACTCGTCGAGTACTCCCATTATGTTGTTATTATCATACTCAGCTTGAGATGTCTGTATATAAGTTCTTGATCTTTGTTGTTGTTGAATGATGTAATACTGAGTTATGAAAATTAATTTTTATCTCCATTCTAACAGTGTCTTTGTGGCAAGTTTCGTGCTTAATGTATCGAATTCGATCTGAATTTGTTTTTATTTTATTGATGGTAATCATTTTACTCCTAATGAACACGTAAAGCGAGTATCATTTACTAAGTGCACGAAGAACATTATTGTGGCATTACTCTTAAAAAATTACCCAAAGATGTGTTAAGTGATGAAGACCGTTTCATTCACCAATTAAAATTAGAGCTATTAATTGCTGATATTGATAATTTAAAGACTTCTCCATTCTACCTTAGTTTTTTAATCGTTGGGAGCACTCAAAGCATTTTTTAGTTACTCATTAATTTTAAGTAGAAAAATCCTACGTGTAAAAATAGTTACGGAAGTGAAAAGGACTTCTTTGTTTCATGTGTGAGAATGCGTGAGCGGAGAGGATGCTCTTGGCAATGGTCTAGTCTCATTTGTGGCAACTGTACTCAATAATTGTAATAGATAGTAAAGATGCGTTGGGTAATGGGAAATATTCACAAATTCGCAACGACTGAGAAATGTTGGAGCATAGCTGTGTTTGTAACACCGATGGACATCTATTGGATTGTGCGACGATCGTCTTTCACTAGTAGTTTTGCTTCTCTTTATTTTGCTCATTTGCAGCTGGACACTTGAGCACTGTTGTATGATTAGAATTACAGTGTCATCACCAGTGATGTGTTTCATCCCATTTCTTGATTTGTTGCAACTAGGTATGTAAATAATTTGCAGCTACTAGGTATGTAATACAGGAAAAAACGTGTAACAAACTGTTTATTTCACTTGATGATTAGCTACTTATAGTAAGTGAATATAACTTTTACTTTAAATCACGTATTAGGTAGTCATTTCATCGTAACTAAGAGACACAAAAATAACATCGAGTTCCATCGTCTTGCATCTTATTACTACCTAACTAATAACGTTCATTCAAAACTTCAGTACGAATGTGGTCAAATAAAACTTGTTTTTAAAATGCTTTACGCTCCATGCGCAAGCGATCAGGCCAGCCTTTGCAATGTGCCTAAGAGCACATTACATCAGGACACATTTCCTGAACAAAGCTGCGTCATAATGTCCAATGTTGCGTGAGTATTTTACTATTTACACGATAATCCTGACATCGCCTAGTTCTTGGCGGCAGCGAGTTTGGATTCTTGTTTAACTTTATAATCCTGCAGAGCAGACTTGATTGCGTCTTCAGCCAGCACTGAAACAGAAGTAATAAATGCAAATTAAATACTTCTATGACCAATACTTTTGTTCAAAATTGAAAATAATCTATTTTTGTTGCAATTGTTACGGTATGATTGCAATGACGGTTGCAAGCTATGCTCTGCTAGAGAATTAGCAGCAAGAATGACTTCATAATTAAAAATGAAAGCTAAGCTCGAAAATTGAAAAAGTCGAAAAAATTGATGTACATGACGTAGGTAATGCTATTGCTAATCTAACTCACTTGAACAATGGAGCTTGACGGGCGGCAGGTTGAGCTCCTTGGCAATGTCCGTGTTTTTGATAGTGAGTGCTTCATCAACCTGGCACAACGGAGGGAATAGTTTAGCTTCCATATTCAAACAATACATGAAAAATAAATCACCCTTAAATTTGCGAGCCCATTAGAGGTAAATTTTATACTTCAATGTAACCAGTTCGACTCTACTTGATACATGCCTAGTAAGAATGTAAGATGGAATATTCCCTCCGACTAATTAGTTCCTATCCAGCTACACAGTGACCAACCTTCCTTCCTTTGATCCATTCTGTAGCCAACGAAGACGATGCAATAGCAGAGCCGCAACCAAAGGTCTTGAATTTAGCATCGATGATCTTGCCGTTTTCATCAACTTTGACTTGCAGCTTCATGACGTCACCACAGGCAGGAGCACCCACAAGTCCTGTGCCTACATTTGAGTCTGTCTTGTCAAGCGACCCAACATTGCGCGGGTTTTCATAATGATCAATTACCTGCAACCAGAGTATGTATGATACCAGTGAGCACAAATACAAGTACCTACATCAATGAAAGTCGAAGTGACTTTTCAAATTGGTCAAAAAAAAAAATTGTTCGACAAGAGAACATTATTGTAGTATAGACGTATTAAATATTAAGCCTTCTTGAATTACACATTTGGACTCCTGAGGTCAAAGGTCAGGATCATGTTTGCACTAAAAACCACTACAGTTAGATGATCCATTCAATTAATATAAATTTCAACTGTAACATGTAATTTTGTATATACATATTCTACAGTGAAAATCACAAAATTTATGACAATTTTTTCAAACTCTAATACAGCCGAATTAAAAAAAAGTTATGTGAGATCAATTTCTAGACTCAAAATACTAACAAAAGATAAAATCAAGTCTAGTTTTAATATTAACATTACATCAAAATACTATGTCTGGAGGTCACCAGGTTCTCAGTGGAAGCACAAGACAAAACTTCATATTTTAACCCCTCTGTGTAGTGAGGGTTTACTTGCTAAAGCCCTTCATGTACAAATATTGTTGATAAATTTAGGGGGCGAGACAAAGCAGAGGGAGGCAATGCCCAAATCAACAGGATCCATGTTGAGTAGACTTGCATAGCATAGTACTACATACTCACCTTCTTATGGTAGCCTGCTGTGACAGCAATAGCAGCATTCCTGCTTGCAAGGTTAGACATAGACTGTCCTAATTTGCGCAACATAGCCATGATTTTAATAGAACTGCAGGAAGATTTAAAGATTTGGATTTAAATATCAATTTACAGAGCAAAATGGATAAAAGATACCACTATACAACTTTATTACAGTTTGTCAAGATAACATAGGAATAAATTCAAATTGTCCTTTAGAACTCCCACAACAAAAAGTGAACCAAATTTTTAAATATTGCAAATAGTATTGATTGCCATGCCCTTGGCTGTAGAAATAAATTATCCGCTTTTATTTTGTGATAAAGATACCAGTTCTAAGGAATCTTTATTTTTGGATCATTGAAGTTATACCATACTTCATACTTTTTTTCTACCTAATCAGAGACAATTTAAGGGGAGCGTCTACCCTAAAATTTATCTCGGCTATTTACAGACGGATCACTTTGAAATTTGGTACACATGTGTAAAACAGAAATCTAAGACTTTTTTGTTCGTGTGAATTTTTCGAAAAAATGAAAGAAAACGTGAAATTCTTAGAAAACGGCCAAAAAAGGGGGTACCGTAGAAATCCTACTCCTCCTAGGGTTTTAGAGCTACAACATCGAAACACATATCATTCAATGCTTAAAAACCATATCTATAATTCATCGTGAACGTTTTTTGAAATTCTCATTTTTGTGGGTGTGGCGGCATTTTTTGTAAATTTTTCGGAAATTTTTTGATTTCCCCCCCCACACCCCCCCTTTTGGCAGAATAAAATCCAAACTATAACAAAATTGGAAAAACGTTTACGATGAATTGTAGATCTTTCTTTTGCAAATCGAACGGTATATGTCTCATTGTTGTAGCTTCAAAACTCTAGGAGGAGATAGGTTTTCCGTGACAATAAGTGTGAATGTTGAGGAGAGCGCGACAAAGTCCCGCGCGCACCACAATATGCGCTCAATGTAGCATAGATAAGTTCCTATCTAATTACTTAAAGAACTCCCCCACCCGCCCCCCTTTCATGAAATGTCGTGAAATCATAAATCAACGTAGAGAGATGGCAGTGGTACCGTTGGATAGGGTAGAATGTCAGCTTTAAAATTAGTATGAAAACCGAAAAAGTAAAAATTTTCAATTTTAGGGTAGACGCTCCCCTTAAAAACTTAATTAATTTAACAATTTAAGATGAAAACTTGACAGAGAAATTTACAGTGGGTTGTAATCTTGCCACTGTGTGATGATATGCTTATAGGCACATTTATTGCATGCTATCATAAAGTTCATACTTGCATTTTACAAACAGCGAATGATGCTGACACAACCATACTGGATGAAACTGCTAGTTAATAAATCATTTTTTTTTTAGTTCAGTCAGTGTGTTACAAATTTGAATTATAAGACTTGAAAAGTTGTTGAATTTTACTTGGCTATGTTTTGCAAGTGTTGCCACAAGATACTTCAAGTTGTTATTGTCTATTTTCAGTAACAAAACATAAGCACTGAATAAGACAATCTTTAATGCAGGCTTCAAGGATCTCATCATCTCATGAGAGGCACAAAAAGACATACTGCAGTTACTGAATATTTTCACATCAAAATGATCAACTGCTTCAAGAATACATTTTCAGTAATTAATTATATAACCCAAATTAACCAAGTCGCTTGTCTTTTAACATGAAATTTTTTTAACAAACTTTAAAGATGGCAACAAAACATCGGAATGGCCTAATTTTGGGCCACTTTTTAGAAATTTTAAATTTCACAGAAATTAAAAAATTCTATTGATTTTTCTATTTCATTGATACTTAAATAATTGCATATAATGTATGTGCAGTTGCACATTATATGTATCATAATATATATATTTTGGAGCTGCAAGATTTCTGCTAGATCAATCATCACTTAGCTAACTGTTCATACAACTGCACAATTAGGCCAAAAGATTCCAAATAAATAAAAATTTATTGCTTTGGAGCCACATGATTTCCTTCATAAGTAGGAAATTCCAATCTAGTATATGCTGTATGTGCATACCTGTATACTGGTTTGTTAAGTGAAACTTTTTTTTTTGCTGAGCATGGTAAATGTAATCAAAATTTTATGTTGCTAACCAATTTTTTTGTTAACTGGATCCTTTGCTAACCAAGGTCCTACTGCAAATATGTTTTAGGGGTGTCCCGTATTACCATGGGCAGGAGGGGGGTGTCCCTTACTACCCAGCAGGGTTGGCGATTTTTTTTATTTTTATTTTTTAATCAAAAATCAATGATTTTATTGATTTTTTCATGATTTTTTTTATTTATTTGATTTTTTCAGCTTTTTTGTATTTTTGAGGTGTTATTTTTTATGTTGCAATTAGCCTACTAACAATAACAGTATATGGATCATAATGGATGGCTAAAAAGGGCACTTATTGCCTTCAATAATGGCCAACGGGCCAAGGTGGTGTTCACCACTTAGGGATTTTTGGGTACACAATTATTGATAAGTCTATTCATTAGCTTTGTAAAGTTTGCATGGAGCAAGGTAATGAGCTAAATATTGACCATTTAACTGGCTTCAATATACAAAAACACTTCAGGAATGCAGATCTCCTGAACATTGAAGAGTCACATAATAGATAGGTAGCTGATTGCACAGTGCACAGCACTATCAATAGATCTACTAGTTTTATGTCCTATAAATCTACCAGACTCTACCCTCTATACACACCGACTAGCAGAAGTACTTTTTCATAATATCACTTTTTTAGTTTTTAATTTTTTTCTGGGATTTTTTAGAGCAAGTAAATCTATGGTTTCTTAACTTTGTTTATGCTATAGTACATAGATAGGAAAAATGTTGAAGTTCATGCCACTGTTTAAAGTTTAGTTTATTTCAATTAGTTTTGCTACAATAACATTTTCATGCCATGACAGAGGACTGCCGTGAGTCCATATTTTCCCCCACCCTTTCAGTTCCAGCCATGAGCCATCCCTTGGACTACAACTTGGACCCTTATGGCTTATTGCCCCATTAAACAGTAACTAATTGTTAAAAAAATGGCATTATCAGGCTGCAAGATCTTTAATGTAAATAAATTTGTCACTTAGAACCAAGCATGGAAAACTTCTAACCTTAGGGCCACAACTAGAGCTTTCTCGCCATTTCCAGAATCGCAAGATTTCTGCCAGATTATTATTATTATTATTAACAATTTCAGCATTTAGTAGGCCGTAGGCCTGTTGCCGATTCTCAACATAGCAGAACATTCACAGCATTTTGCAGTCTTGAACTCACATCTCACTGCTACAATTCTGCTGTGCTTAACTGCCCGGCCTCCTTGCCAATTCTGACCAGAAACTGGCGCACAGAGCTGGGATCAAACCCGCGCCTCTCTGCGCCAATCTTGGTACTCTGAACTGTAACCACTGGGCCAGTACCAACATTGGTGCAGAGAGGCGCTGGTTTGATCCCAGCTCTGTGTGCCAGTTTCTGGTCAAAATCAACAAAGAGGCCAGGCGGTTAAGCAAAGCAAAATTGAAACAGTGCGTTGCAAGTTCAAGCCTGCAACAAGCTATAGATGTTCTGCAATGTTAATTGTTTAGAATTGGCAAAAGGCCTCCAGCCTAATAAATGTTGAAACCCCTATAAAGAAGGCTTCAAGGATCTCATCATCTCATGAGAGATGAATTACCTCAGAATAGGGTAAATGCGGTATATTCCGTCACATTAAGGACGCATCGAGAAATGAAAAACTATAAAAAAATAACCGTATGCGTTACTCAAGTTCTGTTTGCTTTATGTGACTCTCAAAACACCGTACTACGCGTCAGCAACAACGAAACGTCACAAAATGTGGCCATATTTATTTAAAAGCCTTTAGAATGCAAACCTACCAAATCCCTATATTCCGTCACTGTGTGTGGCTATATTCGGCGCATGGTGAGGCGTATTCCGTCTGCGCTTCAAATTCTACTGATATGTAATGCCGTCATCCACGTGTTCGAATTCCATTTGCTGTGTGAGCTGTATTGGAATACAACACGGCTTTGAATTAGAACACTAATAAATATTGAACACTACTTAATTATGCTTTTAAATAACAACTATTAAGCTTTTAATTAAGAAAATTTTAATTTTTGTACACAGCTTGGAACGATCTGTGTGTGTCCAATTCAAGTTGTGACGGAATTAGTTTTCATGTGTCTAAATCCATTTCTCAACTTAATCATCTATTAATTTATTTACCACTTGAAATCAGCAAATACAAGTATACTCAAAGGATTCCTAATATATTCACAGACGTATTTAAAAGTCTCAAACCATAATATTCTTCCTATACAAACAGTTATTCACTATTGGCCACACTCAGGATGATGTATGTTTTTGGTGAATTTTCCCGCGCATTTTCACTTTTTTTACGCTATTGCTGTGCACAGTTGGCGCAATGTAATGAAAATTGATTCTCTTCGCGCACGTGTTCACGCAATCCCGGCCATCAATTCTACGTCGCGCTGCCGCGCACGAGCAGTTTGTGGAGGAACAGACGTAATACTCACATTACTCAGCACAGTATGCCTTTAATTATCTTTCAATAGGTAATATATGATTTTTCTTGATACGGAAATTTGGTGAATGAGAAATCTAGAACTTTATTTTAGAAGAAATTTTCTCCAAAGTCATATGGCAACACTGAACACCGTCTGTTTACATTTCGTATGTATAATAGCCGCAGTTTACGATTGCCGTACGTTCCGTATCCGACAAGGCGGACAAGCGGAAGAGTCAGAAGTAACCCGGACATGTCTTACATTTTATTATTGTCAGTTCGACTCGCGTTGTCAATATACTCCTGTATACTGTCGACTAAAATAGTAGAACTATTTTAGCTTTCTAAAGTACAGTGCACGGCGCATTTTTTTTACCAGCATAGTACGGCGCACCGCGCAGGTCGTTAAAATGACAAAATAAATTCCCGCGCACCTGGCACATCTTCCTGACCATGGCTATTTGATAGAGCAAGGTCAACTGTCAAATTTGACACATTTTTCGATGATCTCACTGGGTAGCGTGCATTGTCTCTCTTTGGATCTCAATATTTTCCCGCTAGATGGCCAAGCCAAGACCTAGTGTTTTGGCAGTAGTTTGACGCGCAAATGTATGACGTCACCATTTCAACAATCAACGATGCATGGAACTAAAACAAAGCTTAATATAAAGGAAAAACTAGAGAGGTGAAAATCTAGCCAATTTTACCCATTCCTACAGGCCAGTGTGGAATTCTAGAGGGATATTAAATTAACCAGTACACATAGCATATTGGAAAGCAGGACCTGAAAGGTTGGAAAGTCCAGGAACTTTCCACTTCCAGAGCCCCCAAATATGGTATATGTACTACAGTACTGGTTAACTAAATACTTAACTTAAACTTGATCATTACAAACAAAAAGCCTGGAAAAATTTCAAAAAATCCATTAAATAAAAGAAAAATAGAGAATATTTATCAAACAAGAAACATTCAAACAATTTTATAACAAATCAGAGGTACTATACAATTGAAACAGTTTGTCCACTTCTGATCCTCCTTTTGACTTTTCATTTATAGTTAGTCACCTGGCAGAGCACTGTATCTAAGGAAAGCATTCCACCTTGGGTGGAAAGCTTTTTTATAAGTGAACCTCCATTTCTAGAATTCCACCCTGCCTACAGCCCTTTTCAATATTCTTCAGAGAAAAATACAAAAAATAACATATTTCTAAATGTATTATTTTTAAATCACTGTGAATCAATGATTTTACATACCTACAATTTTAGGTTAATTGTGTCAATTAGGTGTCAATTATTAAGGTCTGTGGCTGCGTGGCAGACTGGCAGTGCAGTGGCTGTGACCTGTGTTCTGTGTGAGGCTCAGAGGCTGTGAGCTGTGTCCTGTAAGGTGACTAAGCACTAGTCTCTAAGGTCATCATCAATTTGTTATCCTGATTCCTGCCCAGTGCCAGTCTACTCACTCACACTCAGTAATCAGTATTCTAGAAAATTAGCCAAAATGCAAAAGTTACCTTTTAAATGTCCAATTTGAATGAGACAATAAGAATATTAAACACTTTACACTTGAGTACTCACTACTCAATGTTTAATTCACTCCATCCTGAATCTTGCTACTTTTGGTTCAACACAATGTGACACTGGTCATCTATATAAAATCTTATAACTCTTTCAGATTTTCTGGCATATCAAATATTCCTAACTATCCCAGCACCAGGAAATAGGAATAAAAAAATAATCCACAGGCCATAAACTCAAACCGTCAACTCAACTGTAGTTTCTAGCTAACCTCAGACTCGATCATTATTATTATAATTTTATAAGTTGTTCATACAAAAAAAACTACAATTCAAAACTACGACCATTCGAACACGACCACGTTCAACTTTAACGTTATGCAATACCCACTATTTGTCACCTGCAACGCCTAGAATGATCCAACAGGATTTCATAGACATTATGAAGTTGTATCACTTGTTTACAACGTCTTTAATGTTCGGATGAGTTTGCGTGATGCAACAACTCGCTCCCAGGATCACCGTTCAACCATGTTATGGCTATTGAACATTGAATTATCACTGGCAAGATGTGATTTAAATATATAAAACATAACATTCCCGTAGCCCGATTAGTGTAGGCTAACCCGAAAGCTTTTAATCAATGAGGAAGTGGATGGACCGAACTTGAGTGGAGGTTATGATAGGACGCTCCCTAAATTAGTGCAAAATTAAAATAGTAGGTATAATCTCAATAGTACGAACTACGAAGATAAATTTTTCTCCGGAATTATGATTCAAGAATTCATTAAATTACATTGTACAATGTAAGCCAGGAAAAAGGAAAAGACACGTGGTGCGTGGGAAATTTCTCTCAATATTACCTACGAGTGAGAGCAAATGCATGATCACAATTAAACACGGATTACATTGATAACACTTTATTGTCAACATCAATGAGAAGATTGAATAGGTGCTGAAACCCATCGATCAGAATAATAAGTCTGAAACCGTGATTGAAATTGTGTTTTCCGCCAATGATATAATCACACCAGCATGGAAATTTGCGCAACATTACACAAATAAAAAAAATAGGATTCTTTCTCACGAGCGATAGTTCTAGGAGCCGATATTATATTATACTGAATATGATCTCGCAAGAAAGCTTCGAGACATCGATATCAAAGTGTGAGCTTAAGAGTGAAATGATAAAAAATAAACCAACCAAATGATAAGCGAAGCAAAAACATGTACCCCTGGACCTCAGCAAATGTAAAATCAAATGAGATTAGGCTACCATTGGGCCTTCGGTAGCATTTCAAGCGTGCATACCAGTGAGGGATAGCCTGGGATTACACCATGTGATAAGTAGAAATACATTTGAAGTTATAATGGATTAATTATATTACACGAGTTAAAAAATAACACACAGTAAGAATGAAATGCAACGAGAAAAGTAATTCAGTCTCTATTAACAATAATGACTAGACCACCATTAACACGGCAACATACCAGACTAGTTATTATTGACAACTAAGCCGAAGCCCGAAAATTTGAAGCCATATCACTTCCAGCAAAATATAATTAGCAAAACGTGAGGTATATACCATATTACCACAGTTACCAGAAATATAGACCAATACGTGATTATAAACAAGAACATACCCAAGCGCGCACAAAACAAGAACATACCCAAGCGCACACAAATACAAGTTAGTAAAGCAAATATGAAACGCAATGAAAATTTACCAAACACGGCGTTTGCTCCACAGTCAACGACATCTACAAGATCACCCATCAAAGACTCAATAGATAACGAAAGCGCAGCAGATCGATTCAACCCGAATAATTACTACAAACATAATAACAACATAGAATGTGATCCAAATTACGAGGCGGATCAACGGAAATGAAACAAAACTTTAGAATAACTACAGGGGCTCAACTGGTCCACTGAACACCCGCTAGAAGTTATATTTTTAATTATAAATTAATTTAGGGATTCGACTAGTGGCAGTGCATTCATATCCGAGGCATGAACAGAAAATAACACGAAACTTAACACAAGTATAAAAAATGTTACATGTCCCAGGAATGATTATCCAGTTTTAACTTCGCTTTATTTGTTTCACTACGGCAAAGAAAATCATTTCAATAATAATGGTTAGAAGAGAATTGTTGAAGACTGCCTTGTGGCCATTGTAGCACAAGCCAGAGTGAAGTATCACGACACTGCCATCAGTTCACACTACACCAATACACTTAAGACAGACTCATGAATGGGTAAACTGTAACGGCCTATTCGTGATCATGGAGAACATTCGGTGGTAGATATTTTTTTTTTTTTGGCACGCACTAAGTAGTATAAATGCGAATGTCCATGAAATAAAAGTTTCCTTCCAAGTCATTATTATTTATAATTCTACCATAAACACAACTAACGAATGCATAATAATTTGTCCCTGCCTTTACACGAGACTGAATAAGCGTTGTATGTAACTGTTAATTCATATTTTTGTACAGAATAATTCAAAATTATTGAGAGGTTATTCTCTGCAAGTGCCTCTTATTTTGAATGATTTTGATATCTGCTGACTTCAGAAAAAACGCAATTTTCATAAAATATATAAGAAAAGTTTGACAGTAGGGAAAATTTCAATTCACACTGAAAAAATGTAGCAAGATCTCGATGAACACACATCAGAACGTAGATATGGCTGTAGAACAAACAATAACCTTTTCAACCCGAGCCTGGTTAATTTCTGACCTCAACAAAATCGAAGAATAACAGCAGTGGACATGAACTGACAGAACCGGAATCTTTGTTTCGAGCTTGTATGACGAGTTGTCTCAAGAAATGTTCTCAAATTTAGACGATACAGTAAAGGAAAAATAAAAAAATGATCAATGCTACAGCCTCAAGAGACCGGACTGAAGCCGTAGATGGAGCCGAGTCTGGCGAGCAGCTGAGCGATGAGCTGACGTAGGTGAGGGTGAGTGGCCTCAGCCGTGAGGTTCTGCAGGCTCGGGAAGACCAGTGGCAGCAGCACGCGCAGGTCAGAGTCGGAGAGTTCGCTCAGCAGATCAAACAAACTCGTCAGCAACTCCGTCCACACGTGGCACTGCGCCTCGCTGTCCTGGTGATCAAAGTACAAGGTGGATGTCTACTGCAGCTAAACGCTTCAAGGTAGAAAACCTTGACGGTGCTTACTTTACATTCGTACTATACCATCATGTTGTTCGTTTACGAATACTGAGGAGCTGTATTCACTTGCTAGGCGGAAAATATTTCTGTTAGCTGTAGGATGCTTTGAAACTATTTGATATGAACTTGTTTGCCTGACAAAATTTACCGATAATCTTATAATCCAGTATCAGCAGCAGTTATACGATTTGATGTGAGTAAATTTCTTATGATGTTGTTTGTTCAACAGTAATCTGACACCTGCGCAGCATATTTGCTGATAAATACTCTCACTAACAACTTGTACGTGGTCGTTTAAGATGTATTCATTTTTTTCTCGCTGAGTTCTCAATTCGAAGAAAGAATATCACAGCTAGACAATATCACGGGATTTGGAAAACAATAGGGGACTGGATTTCAATTGTTCAGAAGAATCCCCTCCATGATTATAACGGGTTCAATTAGCGTGATTGACAACAATAGATGTAAATAATAATTCGGTTGTTGAAAGAGATTATTTGACTAAATAAAATCAGCATCAATTTCACAGCCATTAATTTTTAGGGCTGTATTCTAGAACACTCGAGCTCAAGTACTCAGACACACATCCAATTATCATTTAAAAAAATTGTCAAGAGAGATAATGAGTGCAACAAAATCACAAGACAAACTACCGACATAGTGCAGAATCCCTATAGTCATGCAAGACCTGCATCTGCACGTAAGTAAGACCTTCAGACACGTAATGTTTACTTTGGTAAGGCTGTCGTCGCGCTGCTTGTAGATCTCAGGCGGCACCGCAGGCCCGGCATCTCCACGCGGCTGCGGGTCGAATGGGTTACGGCGCACGGCGCTAGCCGGGGGCGCGTGGACGGTCTTGCGGCGGCGGTAGTCGTCGACGATGCTGCCGATCTCCTGGCGGGTCGTCACACGGTACACCTGCTCCTCGCCGTTAGCTGGCCATCATAATGCATTGTTATCGTCTAACAGATATAACTTTGTTCAACGTCTAGTCCAGAGTTAGTGTTATGATCGTATAACGGAGTTAACTTTACTATCGATCAACATATATTTAGCATTGTAATCATTAAACTAAAAATTACTAAAAACAGTTGGTAAATGACGAAAGTTTCTATCATTCTAGAAACGATAGTTTTTACACAGAATAACCTCTGAATTTAGAAATAACTAGAATTTTAAGACAATGTTCAAAATAATACTTATTCCAAAAAATTATCAATACAAATTTTGTACGCCAGTCAAAACAAGATATACAAACCTGTGACACTTGCGACTCCGGAGTCGCCGTTTCTAAACTCCGGCAAACTCGAGTCGTCCGAGTCTGACGCGTCGCCAGCTTTTGAGCTCGCCGAGGAGTCAACAAAATCTGAGAGCATAAAAGGATTTCTAACGGGAGTTTCTGGTGCTGATGTGTTTGTTTTCCTGCCGTCGTCTCCTGTCGCGTTTGAAGGCTCGGTCGTTACTTCCATCATTGGGGCTCCAGGCTCGGAGTCTTCCATGTCAGAGGAGCTGGCGTAGAGATCTTCATAGCCTTCTGCCTCCTCAGGGTGAAATATTTTCCCCTTCAAGAACTTTCGATCAAATTGTCTCAAACTCTTCTCCCACTGATCGATATTAACACGGTGTTCAGTACAGAACTCATCCGCTTTGATGGAGAGAAAGAAAAGTGGTTCATGGTCACTCACGTTATCGATCTCAGCTTCACGTTTTTCTTTGTTGGCACGCAAGTCCAAGTACACGTCGCACAAATCCTTGAAGCATCCACTTAGAAGTCTGATGTACTCTTCCAAGTTCTTGTCAACTAGAGTAGTAGGTCTTTGAAAATCTTTTTTTCCTGAACATCCATTGTGAGTAAGTGAAGGGGACATGTTCGGGTATTCTTTTACGTGTAACCCGTGTTGCATTGCTTCATCCGTCGCATCGCAGATTTGTCGTTTCAATACCTCCCTCACAGCGTCGACTGTGACCAGTTTCTTCTTGTGAGCGTCCAGGACCAAGTGAATGAGAGTAACCGCTCGTAAGGTCCAACTTGCACCCGCTTGACGATATAAGTTGGCAGCTCGATCACACATAGCCACTTTCTGGATGAGGAATTTCAGGCCTGGTCGCATATCGAACTGCACGGCGCAGGAATACGATAGATCGAGAGCGCTAAGCAATGAGCGCACATGATGAGGCTGCAAGTTCCTCAGTAGGCCAGGAAGATCTTCAGCCGAGTGTTCGTTATGGCTAGCGGAAGAACTATGATGTTTGCCTGTCTTATCAAACATGCATTTATACTCGACTCCTTGCATCAGGACATTGGCCAAGCTAGGGATGATATGACAAGATCCTTCTATCAAAACACTTCCTATGGTTTGCAATAAAACTTGGTTTGCTAGCAAGCCAATAACGACAGATCGGAAAGGGACTCTGACAGGCTCCATTTGTTCTTGCAGGAGGTCGCTGCATCTCAATTCAGAGGCACTGAATTTCCTCGCAGAGTTAGGGCTGAAGTCAGCGTCGTGACCACTATTCAGACTGCCATATTTATCACCTACGAGGAGGCTTTCAGTTTCGTCGGGCCCAAGATTCGGGTACAGAAGGAAGATGAAAGAACGATCCTCGGTGTCGGACCCTTCGTAGAGAGCTGAGGCTACAGACTCTAAATGCTGGGACTCCAGAAGGAATACCTGCAATGGATATTGGAACGGATATTTATTTCTGGTTTGCACATTTACAAATGTTTTTTCAGCACAATGCGCTTCTTGTCTAAGATTAATAATCTCTGGTATTGCTCATTGTGACGTAAAGCAATTAAGAGACTCGGGAAAACAGATGACATTTGTGTCTAAGAAAGTATATAGTCCTCTGAACGGGATTAGCCAAAAGCATTCTTGTTAATCTTAATAAAATAGTTGAACTTAAGAGTAGTAAGGTTTTGAGGTTATGACCTGGTTGGCAAGGTGCCTCAAGCGTGCGGTGTGAGCCTCGGTGCAGTCCCGACGAGCGGCGACCTGAACGCGTCCCAAGTCCCCGTAGAAGTTGGGCGAGTCGCGCCTGAAGAGCGACACGAGCTGCAGCGTCGGATACAGGCTCACCTGCACACCACAAACAAATTACTTGCTGTCATGATATAGTGCTCAGAATTTCAATATCTAGAACAAGTTTTCATTTCTATGATAATCATATGGAGGTATACAAGTAAATTTGCGCGGATTTTACAAAAGGATCAGAATTATTTTAATTAAACTTGGGAAGAGAAGGTAATAACGGACGCCTTGATTGAGTTGATCCTGAATAACTCTTCAGCTTGAAATGTTCAAGTACGGAAATACCTTTACGACAACAACGTCATAACGAACACATGATGGTTTACCTGCAGCTGTTATAACGCCAGATAAAACCTACATGAATGATGTAATAAGAAAGAAATAAATCTGTTCAATAGCCTTTAAACTTTTTAACAAGGACGTAGCATAGAAAAATGAATAATTTTCATGGAGCTCAATGGTTATATATATTTTGCCCGGCACACTATGCGAGCAAACGTCGAAGCAAACGGCCAGCACCAACTGCAATCAAATTAACAGCGATGGCTGCAGCGCATGGACATGAATAGCATTTATGTCCCGGGATCAATGACTGGAATAAGGAAGAATAGCTCGACAGAGTACGAACGTGACAAACTTACCTTAACAGCCCTGATGAGACCAGCCAGGAGAATGTCCCACAGCTGGGGAGGTAGCAGAGGTCCACAGCTGCACACCACGTGTCTAGAAAATAATAATTATTCTAACAATTTTGCGCGTGGCAATACGAAGTACCTACTTTATAAATCAGATGAAACAACGTGAAGTTCTAGCAAATCTCAACAAACGAACAAACGATGTGTTCTTCTAATGGTTAATGGAATCAAATGGAGCCTCGACTGGTCAATTAATGGAAGCCTTAATAGCCCTAGAGCTTCAATGAGTAAACACAAGGCCACTTGGGCATTTCTGGACGCTGGTTGACCTGAAGCAAGAGCAGCCGAGCCTGGCGATGAGTTCGTTGGACTGCGCGATGCACTCCACGAGCACGACGAGCGTCTGCTGCAGCATGAGCACCGCGCCCTTGCGCTCAAGCTCACCTACTCGTACATAAAAAAATGCGTTTGAAGCAGCTGTAGCATTAAGAGCTAATCATGTGTGGTTAAATTATCTGCTGTAATCAGGACTGAAGAACATTATTGGCATGGGAAGAAAGTTAATTACCTCTCACCTATTTTGGGAAGTAATTCCCATACGATTGTCATCTGCATTCAGTAGTATAGAAGTCATCTAGATAAACCGTCAGTCTCGGAAGAAGGTAACTTATAGACGATAGCATCACTATCTATAAAACGCTTTTTACAGACGTTATATTTGCGGAAACGAGATTAATATCAAGTATATTCTCTTCATAAATCTGCCTTAACTGCTGCAAGTTACTCAGTAAGACAGATAGATCAATGTACTGAGGAAGCTAAAGGTGAATAAACCATTACATTATTTGATTCACTTCACGGCCAAACGTTCAAAAAAATATATTAAGAAGGTTCTGAAAATGTTCGGAAAATGCGCAGGAAATGTATAAAAAATCCATAGGAAACGTTTGTTAAATGCATGGAAAATGTACATCACACACAAATCATTTGATTATATATTTATGTAGTATCCTATTACAAATTTACCTACACAAAAAACTAACTAAAAGATAATTGTTCAGTAGGAACGTTGCATGGTTGCAAGCTGCCTAAGCAGTGAACACAAAACATGCCGTAAGGTTTCCAGTAGCTGTATAATATATATTACCTACAGAAAAAATAATTTTAAGCTAATTGTTCAGTAGTAAGGTTGTATCGTTGCAAAGCTGCATAAGCAGTGCACACAAAACATGCCGTAAGGCTTCCAGTAGCTAATGTAACAGCAAAGGGTCATAAGGCAAATCCTGCAGCAGCAGAAGCGACGGTATAGTTCACCTGAGTGTTCATCAGTGGGCGAGGTCAAATAAGTATTGAGGTACCCGACGACGAGGTCGGTGGTGAGGCCGACGTATTGCTTGAATGTGGCAGCAAACTCCCACGACGGCGGCACGGGGTTCACGGAGTCCGTTGAGCGACTTGCGTCCTTGCAGGAGCTGACGCTAGCAGGACGACGCAGCCAGTCCTGCAGCAGCGGCAGCAGTACGTGGTTCACGCAGTACAGGCCGAACAGCAACCCTGCACCACACTGCCACTATTCATATATAATCACTAATACTATATTCTGACAGTGACATCGATCGTTAGAAAGAATATGATAAAGTAATGCATTCTCCGCAAGAATCAACGTAATTGAAATAACCCCAACCCCTTAATATTCGAACATGAATACAGAAATGAGTTAATTCCAGTGGAGATAAAGCAGTGCTTGCCTGGTTGCTGCGGCAGCGTGCGCATGAGTGAGAAGAGCGTGTCGAGCACATGAGGCTGACAGCGAGGCTGGCAGATGATGACAGTGCCAGCAAGACCTGACAGCAGCGAGTACCAGACAAGCAGCCCTCTGCTGGCAGCGCCCTCACACGCCTCACACACGGCGCTCAGGGACACACGCTCCTCCCTCGGCCAGAGGGTGCCTTCCCGCACCCCCTACACAATGAGGAGATTAGGACGCTTTTTGTATTACTTTCATGACGTTACTTGAATGCAAGGTAAACAATAATATTCAACGCAATATTTTAACACTTCAAATTTTACTCTGGAGAAGGCAATTTGAATGTAAGGCAAGCTTGCAGTACTTTGAATACTGCATTCGAATTTAATGTCAGCTTTTAAGTCTTTTAATAGTACGTTGTGGGAGGCCATTAGAAAGTTTGGCAAGTAGATTGTCAGTAGAGTGCATGTTTAATAAACTTTACTTGATTCTTATGATACATTGGAATTGGATACCATTATACAAATCTTGGAGTCGAATTTCACCCCATCCGCTGCAAATAAAGATCTCAAGATGAAGTTACATTAAGAAATTAATCAAGACTACACTTGTGAACGATAGACGGAATCGTGGAAGATAACAAGTATTCCCTGAATAGATAAGATAACAAGTATTCCCTGAGTAGATAAGATAACAAGTATTCCCTGAGTAGATAAGATAACAAGTATACCCTGAGTAGATAAGATAACAAGTATACCCTGAGTAGATAAGATAACTCACGGCGAGGTCGCCCCCAGCACCAGACGTCGGGAGCTGTCGCACGAGCCGTGCCAGCAGCTCCTCGTCCACGAGGCTGATGAAGCAGTCAACCACGCGGCCTTCCTCGGGCCCGCACAGTCTGCAGCAGGGGGCATGTCAGAGTCTGCAGCAGGGGGCGTGTCAGAGTCTGCAGCAGGGGGCATGTCAGAGCACGCCATATATCACAATAATGTAGCACTAAATTCAGTTACAAATGCCCTGTAGAGATCGTGCACCGAGGAAAAACTCTGATAGTTTATTAGTCAAAATAAATTTTCAGTCAACTCTATTAGTTGACTGACAATACGCACATAAAAACAACAGACTGGACAGAGTTGCTAACGCAGTATTAATCAGAGACAAACAGTGAAGGCGCTAGTCACGATTAGCGTGATGGATGACGTACCGAGGGAGCATGGAAGATGGGCAGGCGGGCATGGTGATGACGTACCCGGAGGGTGCATGGAAGATGGGGCAGGCAGGCATGGTGATGACCATGGGTCTCCCTCGTACCTTCTACCCCGTCCGCCCGTACCACTACTGCATGGGTCTCCCAGCATGGAAGATGGGGCAGGCGGGCATGGTGATGATGGCAGCGATGATGGCGCAGGTGGTGTGCAGGTAGCGTAGGGCGTTGATGCAGAGCTCGTCTCCCGCCACCACCTCGCCCCAGGGCAGCACCCGCTCCTCCCCACACTCGGGGCCCCCGCCTTACGAAGGGCATGACTCAGCAGTGCAAAGGTTAATTGGGGTAACTCAGACCAAAAATATATCAAGACATTCAAATTGAAGTTAAATAAATCAGGATGGTAGCAGCAGTGCAGGACTCACCAGAACCCTTGACGTGGTTCAGAAGGCAGAGTATGCAGTCGAGGGCAGCGTTAGCGAACACCTGCAGGTTGTCCGTCGCCAGGAACGCGTCGAAAATGTCGCGCAGAAGTCGAATTTCTCCAACGGCTCCTGAAGCACAAGATACGAGATGCTTAATGCTTTTATAATAGAACATTATAGCGCACATTCTGGCGCATTTTCTGACACAGATTTAACGGTACAGGTCTCTTAATTAATTGCACGGTGCTGCAGCCAGCGGCAACTCCGAACTGACGGTATATATTATCAGGAAGTAACATAACTTAGACTGCATACTTTCGTTTGGATGCAGTGGTATAAAGCTGGATAAATAATGTTTACAAATTTGAATTGTGGAAGGTCATATAGAAAAATCGTATATGATGATCTTGAATAGCAAAGTGCGGCGGGTTTGCCTCTCAACCATCAGTTTGTAAATTCACCAGAAATAATTCAGTTTCAAGATAACCCTATCGAATGTTCAAAATAAAACTAATGAGGCAATTGTAAAATTCCAACAAAACTGGCCTACGTTACTTGTGTCATGACAATTTATGTGCACAATTTGAATACATTGAGAGAAGCTTCATGCATGAAAGTAATTATTGAATGAATATATTATGTTATCAGTTTGATGTTTATCTCGTTAGTTTGATGATGCCTGGCATACTGACCAATATTATGGGGGTGCAGGGGGGACGCTGGCGGGGGGCGTACGGCCTTAAGAGCAGCGAACAGCGGCCGCCAGCCTGACCTGATCTCTGCTGCTGATCCTTCCACGAACTCACAAATGCTGCTCACGATCTGAACAATGTCAGGGATTGTGGGAAATATGTAAGACATGGACGCGTGGAGACCAGTACTCATATTACTAGTCCACTAATGATAGAGCTGAATATGATAGTTCATAGAATGCTAGCTCTGCTTCATAGGTACCGACTGGATAATAATCAATATCAATACTAATTAATTAGTTAAACTCCAAATACCACCATGTACAATCAAACAACTCAATTCCTTATAACTGACAAATGTTTACTAATTTGAAATATTTGACATAGATTTATTTTCAAAATGGATAAACACGACTGCCAGGAAATACTTGATACGACCTGATCTTGCACTTCAAAATCGGCCAATGAACTTCGCATTTGAAACGAACTTCGAAGAGTTAATCGAAATATTTGGCATAACTTCAACTTGAAATAAGAAGAATGAGTGGAAGACATTTAATAGAGTACCTGATCTTGGACTTCGTAATCGCACATCTCAAGACACAGCAAGTTCTGGAAGGGCTTGAAGACAGCCTCGTTGAAGTGGAAGTGCGGCAGTTCGGTCTGGCTGGCTAGCAGACAGTTCACGACGTCGTGTATGGTGGCCACGGCCGTCTTAGTCACGCAACGGTCGCGGTGACACGCAGCCTGCACGCACCACCACAATAATAATCTAGTCCTACATTGGTCACGTGCAAAAACCTGACTGAATTGGTCATCAGCAACTACGTCACCGGTTCAGAGGGTCATGAAAAAAAAACAGGCACGAATGTAAACTTAGGATCTCTCAATTTGCATTCTCATATATTTAGCCCTGCTTGATATTTTCAAAGAGAGATATAATATAAAACAATTGCAAGCTGCACTGCCATGAGCTCTTCATCAAACCCCAATATTTCAGCATAAAAAACGACGTCATATTATTCTAAAAGAGACCCATTGTTACCAATGCGCCCTCACCACAGCCGCCAAGCGTAGGTCGTACAATCAAAACTTGTCTAAATACACGTAGCGGCCGATTAAATTCTCTGTGATTGATGGCTTAATCTTGAGAACTTTCAGTAATTAGCGGACTGATCAAGTGACATTTGCGTAACCCTTTGCTCCCGACCCCAAAGGAGTAAATCAAGCCAGTAACCCCCGCCAGACCTCCATGAGGTGGGGGGCGACGACCCCCCAGGCCTTGATGATGTGCAGCACAGGGCGGCCTGACCGTACGAGCCTCAGCAGCGCCCCTGCCAGCCGCTGCAGCAGCCACGGCCCTCCGCCGCCCTCAGCGCCTGCAGGGGGCGGCGCCCCGCTACATGAGCCACCACGCTCACGCTGCTGCCATTCGGATTAGGTTCAGGCAGTTTAATTGCGTAGCGCAAATAAAGTTTGTTGTTTTGCTGCTAAGCATAAATAAAATAAATGTATATGTCTTTCAACAATCGAAATTAGGTTTTGTTGTGAATAATCCGGTATTTGGTCCGATTAGGTTCAGGCAGTTTAATTGCGTAGCGCAAATAAAGTTTGTTGTTTTGCTGCTAAGCATAAATAAAATAAATGCATACGTCTTTAAACATTTGTAATTAGGTTTTGTTGTGAATTTTCCGGTATTTGGTCGGATTAGGTTCAGGCAGTTTAATTGTGTAGCGCAGTTAAGTTTGTTGTTTTGTTGCTAAGCATAAATGAAATAAATGTATGTTTATGTCTTTCAACAATCAAAATTAGGTTTTGTTGTGAATAATCCGGTATTTGGTCAAAAAATATTAAATTTAAATTTGATCACCAAAATAAGAGCTACAGATCACTAGAGCGATCTTATCCTCAGAATCATCATGAGTACGGTAATTAAAATTAAGAGCAGCCGGACGGGAGAGAATTCTCTCACCAACAAAGAATTTTATAATCCAAATATTTAATTATAAGAAGATTAGAAACTAGGGATAACACGCAAGTTAGACACAGCGCCGAATAATTACGAGTTTTTTCCGTCGCCAGGGCAGGACATGCGAGACCCGCCTGGTGGGGACGTGGTCCTGGCTGTGGGGCTGGGGGAAGAGCTGTGCTCGGGACGCGGCGCACAGCTCCTGCAGGAACCCCAGCACCGCGTGCAGGTTCAGTTGTGTCGCCGCCTCATCAAACATCCTGCAGTACAAGTCGTGCTTAGGCACTTCTATCCTGGGAGTGTACTACCGTACCATTTCCCTGGCATCCTACATATGAATCTTCGAATTATTTCACTACAGAATTAAAATCATAATATTGTCAACAGAGTTTATGACGCTATCATATATCTACGAAGCATCCTCAAGAATAATCATCATTAGATGCAAGAAATAAATTACAATGGAAACTGCACAGTGGCCCAGCTGGAGGAGGGAGCTGGCGTGGACGTGGTATACCTAGACTTTGCTAAAGCTTTTGACAAAGTTGACCATGGGGTGCTCTTTAGAAAGCTGAGGCTGTTGGGGGTAGGAGGAAGCCTGTTAAGGTGGATCCACAACTTCCTTACAGATGGAGTACAAGCTGTCGCAATTGGAAACTCGAAATCGAGAGAAGCAAAGGTGAAAAGCGGAGTCCTGCAGGGCTCAGTGCTTGGACCGATCCTCTTCCTCATCCACATTGCCGATATTGACTCGGAACTCGCCCACATCGTCATTTGACTTGGATCTCACTCACATCGTCTACATCGTCATTCGCGGACGATACAAGAGTGTTGATGAAGATCACAGATGACCTAGACTGCGAGAAGTTACAGGATGATCTATCGTCAATCTACGATTGGGCCCTAGTGAACAATATGCAGTTCAACGAGCACCAAGTTCGAAGTAATGAGATACAGAGACCGCACAGAGATCGGGATGCCACATCGCTACTTGGCATCAGATGGCACAGAAATTGAGGAGAAGCAACTAGTTCGAGATCTCGGAGTGTTGATGTGTACTGAAGCCACGCTCGATGCCCATATCGAGGAAATAGTCGCGCGCAGCCGGTAACGGATGGGGTGGATATGGCGGACATTTCGAACGAGAGAAGCAGCACCAATGATTACACTCTTCAGAGCCCTCGAGCTCCCCAATCTTGAGTATTGCTGCCAGCTTTGGTCGCCACTCAAGGCGGGCGCGGTGCGGAAACTAGAGGCAGTGTAGCGGACCTTCACGTACAGGATCAGCGGCATGAGGGAGCTGAACCTGAACTACTGGGGAAGGCTGAAACACCTGGAACTGTACTCACTGGAGAGAAGAAGGGAAAGGTATATCATACTGTACACTTGGAAGATGATTACTGGACTGCCTCCCAACTTAGAATGTCAGACCAGAATAGTGATACATTACAACGAAAGGAGGGGGAGACTGTGCGAGATTCCCCCATTTAACAACCGAGCCGCGGCCAGAGTACAGACTCTTCGTGAGGGATCACTTGCAGTGGTAGGACCGAGGCTCTTTAATGCCTTGCCAAAAGTGCTGAGAGGAAAGGAGTTCACCCTTGCAACACTCAAGAGACGACTGGACAATTGATTGAGAAAGATCCCAGATTCTCCAGTAGTGGGAAACTACCTTCAGCAAGCGAACACGTCCATTGGTACATCCGGGGCCCGAGAGCGAGGAGACAGGCCTAGCGACGGCTCGGAGACGGAGGACGACGAAGGCGGCGCCCGCGAATCGGCGAAACCGTAGACTAAAAAGTCCTAGACTCATCATAAGGTAATAAGTTACAAAATAAAACAGAAAAGAGACTAAGTTAATAAATACGAAATATCTGAGAACACCGAGAGTATAGAGCACCGAGCATACCGTGAGCACACTGCGAGCACATCATGAGCACACCATGAGCACACCAAGAGCACACCATGAGCACACCAAGAGCACACCAAGAGCACACCGTGAGCACACCATGATCACATCATGAGCACACCGTGAGCACACCAAGAGCACACCATGAGCACACCATGAGCTCACCATGATCACGCCATGAGCACACCATGAGCACCTCATGAGNTTAGTTCAGCGACCTGCACACTAACTTAGTTCAGCGACCTGCACACTAACTTAGTTCAGCGACCTGCACACTAACTTAGTTCAGCGACCTGCACACTAACTTAGTTCAGCGACCTGTACACTAACTTAGTTCAGCAACTTGCACACTAACTTAGTTCAGCGACCTGTACACTAACTTAGTTCAGCAACTTGCACACTAACTTAGTTCAGTGACCTGTACACTAACTTCGTTCAGCAACTTGCACACTAACTTAGTTCAGTGACCTGTACACTAACTTCGTTTAGCAACTTGCACACTAACTTAGTTCAGCGACTTGCACACTAACTCTGTAGAGCAACATTCACACTATAGTTTATTGTAGTGACCTTCAAACTAACTTAGTCCACTGACCTGAGGTCTCGCTCGTGTAATAACATAAAACTTAATTCAACAAAGCTATCGTGAACCACGCAAGCATTCCTATCGAAAATACTTAAAGAATATTATTTAAGGTTTAGCACAATACATTTTACAAATATATTTTAATTTTATTCGAGAATCACAATAATCTGTCTTAATTAATCATTTAAAAAGTCATTAATTTGAACACTAAACAAAAAATGTTGAAGCAAGGTTGCAGATATCGCAAGCTCTAAGGGTGGGGTCTACCCTAAAATTTTCGGATTTGGCATTTTCGGTTTTTAGTCTCTCTGACATTCTGCCCTATCCAACGGTACCACTGCCATCTCTGTACGTTGATTTATGATTTCACGACATTTCATGAAAGGGGGGCGGGTGGGGGAGTTCTTTAAGTAATTAGATAGGAACTAATTACCTGCTGAGCTCTTTAAATATAGTGTCTACTCGAGTTGTGCTGCAGTTACGTGTTTAGTCTCATCTTAAAGCTGACATTCTGGCCTATCCAACGGTACCACTACCATTTCACGTTGATTTTTACGTACACGACACTTCATGAAAGGGGGGCGGGGGGTGAGTTCATTCAGTAATTACATAGGAACTAATTCGCTGCCGCAGCACTACAAATACAGTGTTTTTGTGAGGTGAGGCTCAGTGTGCCTCCGGGCTTTGTAGGGAGAGGTGAGCATGTAGTCGCTCCCACCATCCTTGAGTGGAATCAAGCTCCAGAAACGTTTAGTTTGGGATCTATGCTACATTGAGCGCATTTTGAGGTCCACGCGCGACTTTGTCGAGCTCTCCTCAACATTCACACTTATTTTCACGGCAAACCTATCTCCTCCTAGAGTTTTGAAGCTACAGCAATGAGACATATACCATTCGATTCGTAAAGACCATACCTATCGAGTAACGAAGCCATTTTTTATAGATTTGGTCATAGTTTGGATTCAAAATGGGGGGGAGAGGGGAAAATTTGAAGAAAATTAGAAGAAAATGAGAAAAAAAGGGAAAATGCGTATAAAAAACTAAGGCAAAAATATTAAATCGGGCTTCGTTACTCGATTGATATGATCTTCGCGAATCGAATGGTATATGTCTCAATGTTGTAGCTTGAAAACCCTAGGAGGAGATAGATTTCTACAGTACCCCCTTCATCGTCGGTTTTCTATGAATTTCACGTTTTCTATTAATTTTTCGAAAAAAATCATACGAACAAAATGTGTTTTTTTTTTGGTTTTACATACATGGTGTAAGTTTCAGAAAGACCCGTTAGTAAATGTAGAAGTTTTTTTGGAGGGTAGACCCCGCCCTTAACGTTACAGAAGAAAATTCAACAATTAAAAATGGGCATTGCGATTTATTTACAATAATAAAAAAGTTTTCTAGAATAACCACTTGTAGTATTATTCGAAGCTCTTGACAGAAATAATAATAAATTCAATAACTTTCTCTGGAGCCCGTTACGCACCGTGAACTGGACGCGTGGAGGTCGCCAGCGACGCCGCTCTTCCTGCCTCCTTCAGTAGCGTCCGCAGCGTGGCTCTCGCTGAACATCAGGCGCTCCAGCTCACTGATGTACACGCAACATCTGTACATGTACACGCAACATCAGCACATGTACACGCAACATCTGTACACGCAACATCTGTACACACAACATCTGTACACACAACATCTGTACACGCAACATATGTACACGCAACATCTGTACATGTACACGCAACATCTGTACATGTACAAGCAACATCAGCACATGTACACGCAACATCTGTACACGCAACATCTGTACACACAACATCTGTACACACAACATCTGTACACACAACATCTGTACACGCAACATATGTACACGCAACATATGTACCCGCTGCACATGTACACGCAACATCTGCACACGCAACACATGTACACGCAAAACATGTACACGCAACATATGTACCCACTGCACATGTACACGCAACATCTGCAAACGCAACAACTGTACACGCAACATCTGTACACGCAAAACATGTACACGCAACATATGTACCCACTGCACATGTACACGCAACATCTGCACATGTACACGCAACATCTGCACACGCAACATCTGCACATGTACACGCAACATCTGCACATGTACACGCAGTATTTGCACACGATACACCACATTCACAGGCATAACATTGCTAATTTGAAGCAGCATAACTTGAGTAACCAACATTTTGATCTCGGAACTGAATATGAATATATTTCCAAGGTTCAGGAAACTGTTTGAAAATGAACCTCGAGGCACAACAGCGCAGAGAAAATTGAGAAGCGGGCGCTTATGTGACACCCAAAGACTATACAAGCTAAATAGTTAATTGATCATTATTTCTCATCAACAAATAGAACGATTAAGATAAGTAAATATGAGGCTGAACTCTCTGAGCACAACATCGATGTAAAAGAAAAAATGTGCATTATAAAAATCAGCTGAAGTGCATCAGACTTAATCACAAATCATATCTACCTTTCGTCATATCTCCGACCTTTGAGCAGAAACGGTGAGTACAAATAGGATAAGACATATGTAGAGCACTAGAAAAGCAAATAAAGTAAATAAATAATAGTAAAATATGAGATAGAGGTTACCAGAAAATAAAATAGGTCGACTATAAAATAAGAATAATAATAAATTCTAGATATTTCGGTGACCTGAAAATGTGGCACCAGCATTGAGGCGCGTGTGAGGCCAGTTCGAGGCCAGAGGCCATGATGACGTGGAGGGACAGCACATGTGCTCTGTACAGTCGCAGGCTGTGCTTGCCTGCATCACTGCCACGTACGCTGTACATGTCATCAGGGAAACATGTCGAGGACAGGAGAGAGAACACCAGCCCACACTTGCTCTGTAATCCTGTACACCAGAGATACATGTTATGTGTAACAGTGTACACGGTAACGCTAACATGTTATGTGTACAAGATAACGCTAACATGTTATGTGTACATGCAGACTTGTGGTCGGGTGTGAACGAGACATTAGGACATGTGTTCTCTATGTACAATACACATGTGCGATTGTACAATACACATGTACGTCTCTTGTGGTAGCCACACTTGCTCTGTAATCCTGTACACCAGAGATGTACATCTCAAGCTAACATGTTACATGTACATGCAGAGAATCAGATATAATATATCATGATTAATTTCCTTGTAATTTTGCAGGTCTTTCACGATCATACATCGTGACAGAATGCGACAAGTACTGCAGACATTTTGAACTTCGTCTTCACAAGGTTTTCAGCATGGGAGAGGGTTGGCAGATCAGGATCCCATACTATGAAACCAGCGCGGACAAATGCATCAGCAGGATTACCTTCCCCTAACAGCTGCCTTCCAAACCTCATTAGCAATTGTTTGATCAACTCAACAAATCTTGTATAACTCAAAAATTGCGTACCGTCACTTCTACTTCTGCTTGTAATTTTGCTCTAAGGAAAAAATAATATGTTTACAATAATGACGTATGGTTACAGTCCCGTAATATGTCGAGGAACTCAGTATGTGGAGATACAGTAAGTGATTAAATTTGCCGATACAATCGAAGAGGTTTTGGTCGCATTTAGGGTATGGTCGCCGTTTTTCTCTATAAGGAAGCTGTGGCCAATATTCTTTGGATATATTTATAGCAGTCTGCATTTCGCGGGTCAGAACACGTAAACAGAAAAATACTGCGCTGGACATGAAAACGTCTACACATAATCAAGGTTGTACGTTCACAGTTCAGGCGAAGGAGATTAAGAAAAGTGCGTCAGGACGAGCTGTCAGCTTATTGTGCTCAACTGCGGTACTGTTAGTTTTTTTATGAAACGCTGTACATAAAAATTCAGTCACTATTAAATGTTGTTTTTCTTAGAGTAGAGGAAGTGAGGTCGAGACAGAAAAGAATATTTACCCAAGAGCGTAGCGAGTCTGGCGGAGGCTTGCAAGGCGCCCAGGCAGCGCGCGAGGAGCATTTCTTCACTAAACGCATTGCTGCCCCCCACCGCGGCCACCAGCCCGCCCCTCAACATCGTCCTGAAGGGGGACAACATGACCGCCCCACAGCGCCGCTCTGTGCGCAGGGAGCGCAGTGCACTCCCCAGCACCCCCAGCACCGTGTCCCAGCACGAGCTTAGGATGCGGCGGCACAACTTCGTGCCTGACCAAACAAACACTCAACTCAAGTGTAAGGTTTAACAGTTGAAGTGTAAAAATGAAGTGTATTGAAGTGTACAACTTTGAAGTAGTGGTGTAAAATTTAAAAGTTGAGGTGTAAAACTTGAAGTTGAAATGTATTGGAGTGTAATATTTTAATTTCCGTGAAGTTTATCCACAATTTGAGATCAACTGGACTGTGATAACCAAACGCACAGTTCAGTTACTAGTCACACCTAACATAGCCTGTTGAATAAATATTTATTATATCTGGCGAGTTTACGACTCGGGTTGGGTGGCTGCTGCCTTGAACCCTGCCACTAACCTGCTAGGGCGGCCTGCGTCTGGTGGGGGCTGAACCCTGCCACTACTAACCTGCTAGGGCGGCCTGCGTCTGATGGGGCTGAACCCTGCCACTGACCTGCTAGGGCGGCCTGCGTCTGGTGGGGCTGAACCCTGCCACTAACCTGCTAGGGCGGCCTGCGTCTGGTGGGGCTGAACCCTGCCACTAACCTGCTAGGGCGGCCTGCGTCTGGTGGGGCAGGGCGGCGGCCTGCAGCAGGCGACGGTGGTCAGACAGCAGCTGAGTGCCGCGCCTGCCGTCCGCGGCGCTGCTGCACATGGCGTCTGTAAGTGAGTCAGCAATGTGGGTCACCAGGGCATTGTTGGGACAAGTGAATTATCTGCTGCATCAATGTGAAGATAACGGCAAGCCGGCATCATAAATAATTCTTTAACGGGAAAAGTGGCGCTAGTAATAAAACAACTGGATAAACGTCGTTTAGCAAAAACATAGGGAGAAAATGATGCACGGCTTTAATTGTGTCAAACAAATCAAAAAACGTCAGAAAACCCCACTTATTTATTATTTGACTTAAGACAATCAATTTGACTTAAGACAGTCTTAAGACAGAAATTATTTGACTTAAGACAATCAATTCCATTAAACGGAGCAGGACACATATATACTAGAACTGCACGATGTAGGAATTTTTATTATGTTTTTTTCAAGTCTTTTTTTATTAGGTTTGCATGAAGCCGAGAAAAACGTCTAAGCAATTGATACTAATTTTCCGTCACCTATTACTTTATTGCATTAGCATATCAATATTAGCTGAGGCAATAAAAATGAAAAGTAAATATCTTGCACTGCTACTGTGAAAAATGTATCCAAGACGAGAAGGAGGATTTTGTTTGCGATGAAAAATAAATTAAAACCAGAATCCCCACACATACTACAGAGGTAACAGAGCCATGGTTGACCGCTTCTCGTTAACAGCCTGTGAAAAGAACACGAGTTCTTATGGAGCCACATAAAACCTGTAGCCATAAAACCTGTGTATGAAACAGCGAGGGTTAGCGTAGATGCTCATTCTATTTCACGGTACAATGAAACAGAAAGAAGAACTTGATGTCAGTAGTTAGCCACAGGGAACATTACAGGTGTTACTTGCCATGCAGCTTAATACGGAGCAATAACACATATGGCCAGAAATTTGTTAGTAGCTGCAGATCTTAAGTCTATAAACCACATTTGTTAGTAGCTGCAGACCACAAGTCTATAAACCACATTTGTTAGTAGCTGCAGACCACAAGTCTATAAACCACATTTGTTAGTAGCTGCAGACCACAAGTCTATACACCACATTTGTTAGTAGCTGCAGACCACAAGTCTATACACCACATTTGTTAGTAGCTGCAGACCACTGCATGTATCCAACAGAATTAAACATTTCCTTACAACGCAGCCAATGCATTGCCGGGAGTATCGCTGCCTTGCAGTAATCTGGTACATCACGCAATGGAATTTCCTGGCCGAACTGCACGGGGAAATAATTAGAAATATTTGAAAATTATTTTCTGAAAATATAGTAAGCCTAATTACTAATTATTAAAATATTCAATCTAGACATTGATAAACGCATCTGATACGCGAAAAATCATACTTCAATAGGAAATTATGACGAGCTTTTCTAAAACCTGTAATGTGCTCGATGTCGACGAGTTGCTCTGAGAACCCAGCATCCAAGAGACTCCCCAGCAGGCATTCGGTGGTTGAATCAACGTTGAATCAACTACGCATTACGACATTGAGATCGGGGTGAAAGGAGGTTTAGAATGAAAATTGAAGCAACATCTTTCATGCAACGTCGTACTGACGCTGTCTCTTATACACATCTAGATGTGTATAAGAGACAGGTTGATATGACGTTTAATTTTGGTTGTTCAACATTTCAACCTGAAATCAACCAATAATCAACGTTGTTTCAACGTCAGATGCCTGCTGGGTCACTACATCACACTTAGTGCAAACAAATATCTAAGACACCTGTAAGTTACGGCACCAACACTCCACTAATACAAGAAGATCTCGTGAAGATACCATACAGCAGCAGCGGCCGCACCAGCACCGACGCCCCTACCGTCCAGGCAGGTGCTCGCTGAACTTGCTCAAGCACTCGTAGTGGCCTGAGTACACGTAGCGGTTAGTTTCTCATCTGTACATGTAGCGGTCAGTTGCTTATCTATGGTGGGCAGGTTTACCTTGTAAAGCTGTTAGTGATAGGCTCAAGGAGGTAAAAACTCCTTCCCTTTCCGGGGGAAAACCTGTGAGGGCTCTCAGGGCAGGGGCCGCACCGGTGTAGGCGCCCTAGGCAGAGGCAGTACCTGTGGGGGCGTCCTGAGTAGAGGCAGTACCTGTGAGGGCGTCATGGGCAGAGGCAGTACCTGTGGGGGCGTCCTGGGCAGAGGCAGTACCTGTGGGGGCGTCCTGGGCAGAGGCAGTACCTGTGGGGGCGTCCTGGGCAGAGGCAGTACCTGTGGGGGCGTCCTGGGCAGAGGCAGTACCTGTGGGGGCGTCCTGGGCAGAGGCAGTACCTGTGAGGGCGCTCAAAGCATGGAAAGCATGGGGACCATACGGTACCTGTAAGGGCGCGCACAAGAGCGCAGTGCGCATGGAGCGCAGGCTCGTATCCCGCGCGCTGCAAGAAGCTGTCGGCGCACACAAGTCTGTACAGCTGCTGCAGCCACGACGTGGACAGATACACCAGCACGCCACTGCCGTGCACCTCGCCGATGAACCGTGACTGCAACAACAACAAACTATAACCAACGCTACAAACACCTTACAATTAATTATCATTCATTTTCTCAGTTATTTCAACCCGTTAAACATGAAGCTTACCCCATACACTCAGAACACCTTGCACAACATTCATTTTCCCACTTATCAAGACTTGCTGAAGACAGTTCACCTGGGAGACGGGGAGCGAGGCAGGGTCTCGCGTCGAGCAGTACCAGCCGCAGGTGATGAGCTGCAGGTTGAGGCACAGCGATGCGTACGTCGCAAGATAAATGCCGTCCGCGTTCAGGATAATGCGGTGACCGCTGCTGCTGCCGCTCTCGTCGAATATACCTGTGACATGTACGAGTGACATGTACGAGTGACATGTACGAGTGACATGTACGAGTGACATGTACGAGTGAAAGCTGCTACTGTGACATGTACGAGTGACATGTACGAGTGACAGCTGCTACTGTGACATGTACGAGTGACAGCTGCTACTGTGACATGTACGAGTGACAGCTGCTACTGTGACATGTACGAGTGACAGCTGCTACTGTGACATGTACGAGTGACAGCTGCTACTGCAACACTCACTAGTGACAGCTGCTATGTGGCATTAGCAAGCTAAAGGTGCTTATACGCGGGGCTAGTAGTTGCGTATATTGGTTGCGTCTACTACAGTTTTGCAGGCTGAGAGCCTATACACGAGTATGTCGTTTTCGGTACACTGCGCTCGCGTCAGTGCGACGTAGGGAGTTGTCGAGTAAGGGTGTGCACTGTGGAGTCATGCGAGAGTACGACGGCAGTGCGAGCTACAGGGGGCGAGAGAGAGAGCGACGCAGCTGTGCTCGGTATGACGGCCGGGCGGCTACTGAGCGCAATAGACTGCTTCAAAACAACTCTAGTTGCCTTGCCTGCAATGAACCAGCTAGTTGCTTCTGAACACGTCAAGCATCACAAATTTTTGTAGCCTGGCCTAGTAGACGCAACCAATATACACAACTAATAGCCACGTGTATAAGCACCTAAAATTTGCTCTCGTCGTATATGCACCTGCAACTAAAGAGACGCACGTGGAGGTTCCTCAAGCGGGGTAAATTACAGCGTATAGGTCGTAGACAACGACCAATTAAGTACAATGAAGTTGGCTATAGGACTTTTAATATTAAGGCTATGCCAGCACAGTAAAGCCAGTTCAACCTAAATACATTTCAAATACACCAATAACTAACATAAAAAACTCAAAGTTGGTGACGGTGAAATCGCAAGTGAAACAAATACCTTTTACAAAGACACTGGCAGAGACTAAAAATTTTACGTAGTGATGAGCATGCAATACAGTAATATAGATGTTTCAAATAATTTGCAACGAAACTAACCAAAATAAGAAATAAATCGATGAATCTAAGAACCCTAAACGGATAAAATTATTCCTAAGTACATAATATGAATTTTTTAATAATTTATAATGAATTATATCGTTATTATCATGATAATGAATAATGATAAAATTGATCACTAATTTTTAAAGACGTTCCAGTCATATTAATGAATAATGATAATATTTATCAGTAATTATAACCGCCTGTTGCAGGCAGTACACTGGTGCACACCGTGCACTGCAGACCTTGACAGTAGCAGGAGGAGAAGGCCAGCAACGCCTGGTCTACCTCGATCAGCAATTACTACAGACTGTTACTGGCAGTACACTGGTGCACTGCAGACCTTGACAGTAGCGGGAAGAGAAGGCCAGTAAGGCCTCGTCCACCTCGATGGTCGAGCGGATGGTCAGCAGCCGTGGCAGCAGCTCTACCAGCGCCCGCACGAAATGACGCGCGTTCTCGCTCTCACCTTCGCCGTCCTGCAACGTGGGCAACCTAACTTTACCATCAATTCATCCTCATATTTTGCGGCTCACATCATTTACATGAGTGTTTTCAGACAAGCTACGTAACTTTACGATCTTTATTTATTGCCCCCTCTTTACGAAAAGAGGGACAAGCTAACTTTTCGATCAATTCGCCTTCATATTTTGCGGCTCAGATCATTTACATGAGTGTTTTCAGACAGAAAATTTCTATTAGTTGGCTGAAAGACGATATTAGTTGGGTAGGCGTTTCACAACTCTGTATGATTCATGAGGAAAAATGGTCGGATCAATACAGGGCTTGCAGTGAACAAACTTCAGATAAAAACACATAACTTGTCTTGCAATGCTTTACAACAATCAGTTGCATGTAGTGAGACACGAAATCTCAACTAAAAAATATTTAGGAAAACCGGAGTGACTGGAATTCCTATAAATGAATGATCATGGTTTATAGAATGAAATGAATGACAGACTTTATCTATTTTTCATCAGATTATCTTCTATTTACAAGAGCAAGTAGAGCAACTACCAGTTAGAGAACAGAAATAATGTACCTGCATTTCAGGGTCTTCGGTAGCCTGGGGAACAGGCTCGCAGCTGCCAGAACTCCTCTCGTCGTCGTCTGACGCGCTCTCGTGGGGCGGGTCGGGGTCAGAGGTGTTGGGGGGGTCTGCTGAGGGGGGATCGGCTGAGAGGGGTTCTGATGAGGGGGGATCGGCAGAGGGGCATTCGGGGCCAGTTGTGTTGGGAGGTTCAGCTGAGGGTCGCTGGCATCCCTCAGTGGGGGGCGTGTTCCCCGGCTCTAGCGGACAGCAGTCGGAAGACTCGCCCTCAACAGGCTTAGAGCCAATAACTTCGGCAGCATCATTACTAACTTCTCTGCTGCTCAGTTCTGAACACGGAAAAATGCCACTCAAGAGCTACAGAATATATGAATTTCAAAGAAAATGCACAAAAATTTCCTCAAATACACATAATGAAAGTTTCCTCAGTCTAATGTAAGCAATCTCTATTCATTCATCCTCGCAACGTTAACAACAAGAGAGATTAGTTAAGATGCACGTATAAATATAAGGCAACAACACACCTGTTGGAGGTGCAGCAGCACCAGCGTTGCTGTGGTAAACAGCAGGACCTGAGGGATCAGAGATATACCAACATAACCCAGCCGCTGCAACAGCAAATATTCGCACGGTAAAAGGCATGCAGCAACATAAACGAAGTTAACATAACATTAATCTTACGTTAGCAATTTTGCTGTGAGAAGCATTACCACATCTGCCGAAGCACTCAAATTTAACATACATCGTCAGAATTTAGAGGGAGGAATTTCCAATAGAAGATTTTCCAACATAAGCCACTGAGCATCTCTGAATTGTATAAGCCATTAGGGCCTCGTTGATACACAAGCAGGCATGAATAAAACATATTCTTGCATTAACAAATCCATCGCATCCAAAATGAAAACATTCTGAATTGAATGTGCCTTAACACAATATTAAAACCACCAAAGCAGGGTTGGCGATTTTTTTGATTTTGTCAAAAAAATAAAAAAAAAATAAAAAATTAATGATTTTTTTGATTTTTTCATGATTTTTTTTGATTGATTTGATTTTTTTGATTTTTTCAGCTTTTTTGTATTTTTGAGGTGTTATTTTTTATGTTGCAATTAGCCTACTAACAATAACAGTATATGGATCATAATGGATGGCTAATAAGGGCACTTATTGCCTTCAATAATGGCCAACGGGCCAAGGTGGTGTTCACCACTTAGGGATTTTTGGGTGAACAATTATTGATAAGTCTATTCATTAGCTTTGTAAAGTTTGTATGGAGCAAGGTAATTAGCTAAATATTGACCATTTAATTGGCTTCAATATACAAAAACACTTCAGGAATGCAGATCTCCTAAACATTGAAGAGTCACATAACAGATAGGTAGCTGATTGCACAGTGCACAGCACTATCAATAGATCTACTAGTTTTATGTTCTATAAATCTACCAGACTCTACCCTCTATACACACCGACTAGTAGTGACTGTAGCTGATTGCACAGTGCACAGCACTATCAATAGATCTACTAGTTTTATGTACTAGTGGCTGACTGTGGCGCTGAATAGTCAGCTGAGAGGCTATCGAGCAGAGCAGCTAGTGGCTGACTGTGGCGCTGAATAGTCAGCTGAGAGGCTATCGAGCAGAGCAGCTAGTGGCTGACTGTGGCGCTGAACAGTCAGCTGAGAGGCTATCGAGCAGAGCAGCTATTTGAGCCACTTTCCTGCGTCTATGTTGTTCATAACCGCAGGAAATTAGATTCCCTTTTAACTGCATAGTACCGTGTTCCCGGGCAGTTCTTACTTGTCATTTTTAAATAATTTCGACGCAATTTTAACAAAGAAACTATCTATATTTAATTCATTTCTATCATACACGCATGATTTCATCAATAAAATTTCAATGAACCCATTTAAGAATGCTGAACTCCGATGTTAATCCCTGACGATCTAGAAGCTGCTGGATAAATATCTAGTGAAATTAGGCGCTGAATTAATTGGCAGACTTTGGCAGGCCTAATATGTGAAGGAGTTCAAATAACATAGCCGTCTCAGAGTTTAAATTGTCAACACTAGCACATGGAACTTGACCGCAATAAGACCAAAACTAACTTCATCCCAGGTACAAATATTATAAGAATATAATAGGAATATTATAAATACCTTTATAGTCAGCGTCAGCCAGCGTCGCCCAGGAGTCGTTGACAAGTTGTATGACAGCAGAAGTGAGCTCTTCACCTGACGCCAGCACCTCCAGGGATGACAGCAGCCTCTCTATGGCTGACACTACAGCCTCCATCAGCTGACCTGACGGCGCATGTGTCAATATTCAGGGAATAATCCGCATAAATCATTCATTTTCATATGATATCAGGCCAACCGAAGGCGACGATCATTGCAAACAACATAAATCTAGAAAAAAAGCAGATAGTCCTTGAAATAATAAATTTGAATTAAATATTTAATTTTAATTAAAACGCAAAAATATTTTCCAGAAAATGATCCTCAGGCATTTTGAGCGATTGTATATCAGTCTTTGCTTGCAGTTCAGAGCAACCCAAGCCTCGCATAGATTATTCGAGATTAATCTATTTTTTACATTAAGAATAATCTTTATGTTAATCGAGAACTAAGCGGACGACTTCAAGCGACTATGCACATCAAATTAGAACGAAGCGCTCGCTTTAATAACATTGACTTATTGTAAGCACTTTACTGAACTAATACAAAAATTAACAGTGAATTTGAATAATTTACTTTTTTTAATTGTAATAGCAGTAATTTTTGGCAAATAGCATAACAATTTACAAGTATAGTGAAGTGCTCACCAGCACCAGAGTCCCTGGCGTGGTGGCCGGGCTGCTCTGCCACCTCACACTCGCCCAGACTCTCGATGAAGCTAAACAAGCAAGTAACTAAGTCATTTATATTATTTTAGACGTACGATGAAGTTGAACAAGCAAGAAACTAATTCATTTATATTATTCTAGACGTACGATGAAGCTGAACAAGCAAGTAGTTAGTTAAGTTCCCACATGTTTACTAGTGCTTCAGCTATTTGGCTATATCGCATCGAACGTCATGATGAACATCACCCACGAGGTGGAAAGTCTCAATTATTGAAAGTTTCTTTATATAAAAAAATATTATAAAATTGAAAAAATATTATTCTACACGTACGATGAAGCTGAACAAAGAAGTACCTAAGTGACTTGTTATATTCTAGACGTACGATGAAGTTGCATAAGGAAGTAACTAAGTCATTTATGTATATTATTGTAAGAGAACATTTCGCTAGCTTACTCTGTTATAAGGTATCATTCAATGCAGGTGCATGTTTAGGAGTCATCAACGTAATAATGTAGCCGCAGGCTCAAGCTACATGACTACAAATTATTATGTTGAGCTCAACACAACTGAGGTACATTAGAGCCCTCGCAGCACTTGAGCTTCTTATTAAGCCATTATTATGAGCCCCTTTAAAAGTAGTGTGATATTAGGAACTTCTTAAGTGTCAGGGCAAAGCCCTTGCCTATGGAGGGCCTATAGCATGTATAAAATCCTGCAGTTATCTACCAGGCATTATGCCCGACGGTCGTGTCTTGAGCCATGGTAAATAATAATTGAAATCAGCCCTGCAGGAGCGTGCTTATGCATACTCAATTGTTCCCTATTATGAATCGCTGAGCATTCCATCTCGCATTGTGAGTGAAACAAGAGCAGGACTTGAGGACTTGTTAATGATTACATCCTGCACTAGGATCAAAACAAGAGCAGGACTTAAGGACTTGTTAAGGACTTAAGGACTTGTACTGACTTTATGACTTGCACTAGGATAAGAACAAGTGCAGGACTTGATGACTTGCACTTATGATAAGAACAAGAGCAGGACTTGATGACTTGCACTATGATAAGAACAAGTGCAGGACTTGATGACTTGCACTATGATAAGAACAAGAGCAGGACTTAAGGACTCGATGCCTTGCACTATGATAAGAACAAGAGCAGGACTTAAGGACTTGTTAAGGACTTGATGCCTTGCACTATGATAAGAACAAGAGCAGGACTTGTTAAGGACTTAAGGACTTGCACTATGATAAGAACAAGAGCAGGACTGACGTAAGGAAGAGGGCCAAGTGGTCCGGAGAGCGGTCCGAGGCTGCGGGGTCGGGGCGCAGGATGGGGCCCGCGAACACCACCAGCTGGCCCGCTGAGCTCACCAACTGCACCACAACCACGTACATTATTCACCATCACTCATCACCAATCACCATACACTGGCATTCACTGCTTAAACTATTTAGGTAATTTCTCAAGCCATAAACGCTCCCAAGCAAATTATGATGTGGAAAAAAAAAACATTTCAATAGAATACGCAGAACAATTACAAGCAAAATCATCACATTGAATGAGCGTATCAAACAAGAAAGTTATGATTTATACTTCGTTATATATTTGATAATTGAAGAAAGACAATTTGACTGAGATGTAAATTCTTTAAATGAGCTTGACAGCTTTTATGAACGAATAAATCACTGTCTAACTTAATTTCTGTGCAAGCATGAATATAAATTTTAGTACAGAAAACAAGAGTAGACTTTAAATTGTCAATAATGTACATAATGTACATACTTTAAATTGTCAATAATGTACAGCCGGAACTAATTATAATTCTTATCAGTACTTGGACAAGCACTAAACGATCCACGCTGGTTGTACATGCCAATATGAAGCTATCAAGTATATTTCTCATACGCCAGAAACATAAATTTAAACCAAATCAATTGAATCCAATTAAACCAATGTAATTAAACCCAATTATACCAATTTATTGACCTAATTAAACAAATATAATTGCCTCAATTAAACCAATTTAATTGACCCGACTAAACCAATTTAATTGACCCAATTAAACGATTGCCAACATTAACCTTTTGATGTGAAGCAGTTGGTCTTAACCGTTATCAAAGGCATGCAAATCTCAGAAACTTTTGCAGCCTTTTTAGTTGCTCTGACAATCACTACGTAAATCTTACTCGTGACATATTTACCAATTTTATATTTTTATATTAAAGTTATAGAGCGGTACGTTCACCCTATTTCTCTAAAAAATATTATACGTGTTTCTTACAAAACTTTATTAAACGCAAATAGCGAACTTGCATCACCCAGCAACTTTCCATTCTAGAATGACCGGGATATATGGCAGGAATCCTAACCTCCTAGCATCCTTACTGGTAAAGTTAGTAACTGTCACCACGCGACGCAGTGTTTTCCACATCCTTAGAAATAAATATACTACAGATATTACTTTAAATCCCTCAATTTGTTGTAATGCTTTGCTTTCTGACCAACATCTTCTTCCATTTCTAGACATTTACTGAGAGAAACGAACAATAGATCATGAAGAATACTGAGAATTACTTATTTTTGAGAAAATTATGTGATTTGGGCCCCAAAAATAGACCCGGAAGGATATTGAAAATTCTTTTTTTAAGAAAATTAAAAGAATAAATTTTCTTTTAAGCAAATGACACGTGAAGGAGAGGAGATAATGTACCTGAGAGAGCGCGTCTATGGCGGTGATGCGGTGCTGGAGGGAGGACTGCTGCAGGAGGCGCTGTAGGAGACACTGCAGTACTGGCCTGACCTCCCCCACACTGCCTACACTGTACACCAGCTCTGCACTCACTCTGCACACACCAGATCACGCTTTAGCTCTGCACACACACTCTGTACACTTGTATCTTTCTATAGAGCAACTCGGGACTTATCCTTATACGCTCTGGTAATAAGAGAGGCAACCACTAGCCCATTACTCTAGGTTTATCTTGAGAAAAGTACTTCATTTGCCTCAAGACAAAATAACATTCATTTTGTTCAAATAATTAAATATTACAAAATTATAACAGTCATACATCTACTTCATTTTTATGTAAATATGGATTCAATAGAAACTTTGAAAATTCACCAACTTGTGAGGCAACGAGATCTTGTTTTATAATACAACAAAACATCTAAGCTTATAATCGCAATAAAACAGATATTATCTCTACAACAAAAGAAGAAACGGGGGAAGTAGCAAGCGTGGGTCATCCTGACGCAGTTTGACTCGGTGGATGGCGTCTAATCTACCAGAGCAGCAATAATCTACCAGAGCACCAATAATNCATCACAGCACCGTCTGCCCACATGGTATGTGACACACACTGCACCAGTGCACTGCATCACAGCACCGTCTGCCCACATGGTATGTGACACACACTGCACCAGTGCACTGCATCACAGCACCGTCTGCCCACATGGTATGTGACACACACTGCACCAGTGCACTGCATCACAGCACCGTCTGCCCACATGGTATGTGACACACACTGCACCAGTGCACTGCATCACAGCACCGTCTGCCCACATGGTATGTGACACACACTGCACCAGTGCACTGCATCACAGCACCGTCTGCCCACATGGTATGTGACACACACTGCACCAGTGCACTGCATCACAGCACCGTCTGCCCACATGGTATGTGACACACACTGCACCAGTGCACTGCATCACAGCACCGTCTGCCCACATGGTATGTGACACACACTGCACCAGTGCACTGCATCACAGCACCGTCTGCCCACATGGTATGTGACACACACTGCACCAGTGCACTGCATCACAGCACCGTCTGCCCACATGGTATGTGACACACACTGCACCAGTGCACTGCATCACAGCACCGTCTGCCCACATGGTATGTGACACACACTGCACCAGTGCACTGCATCACAGCACCGTCTGCCCACATGGTATGTGACACACACTGCACCAGTGCACTGCATCACAGCACCGTCTGCCCACATGGTATGTGACACACACTGCACCAGTGCACTGCATCACAGCACCGTCTGCCCACATGGTATGTGACACACACTGCACCAGTGCACTGCATCACAGCACCGTCTGCCCACACAGTGGTATGTCACACAACCCACAATTTATCCCGTCATATTATTTAGGTGCCATGGCAACATCTAAAGGCCCGTTTACACTAGGGGCGACGACAAGGGCGGTGAGGCGCTGCAAACAACCGTTCACACTTGTTTTTGTACGCGGTAGCTCAAGACTTCGTGCTTAGAAGATTAGTTGCCAGTTAATACGACGTCAGTGGAGATGGATATAACCGAATTTGAGCTCTGGGCCATTGTTCTCGGGTGTGCAGCTGTTAAGATTTACACAAACACGATTTACGCAATTACATTTTCAAAGAATTATCAGTTGCGAATGTATCAGACTTTCAAAATTATACTAGACTGCCAGAAGACTTGTTTGACAGTCTGCGGAAGAAAATAATGCCACTCATCCAGAAGCAGGATGATGGAATTCACATGCAATGGAATTCATTTCACGATGGAATTGCGAACGCAACGTATGAATTTTCTTGCGAACCTCGTCAATGGTGACTTGTACAGAAAAGTTTTTAAAACTTCAACTATTTTCACCAGAGCTGTTCTTTCGCATTTCGAATTTTATACTCCTTTGACTGAACTCTCTACAGGCATTCATACTCTCTACGAAGATCAATTAGCCTCTCTACTAGAGAGCGAGTCCATACAAGTGTGGCGTTAGTTTGCCATAGTGAAGGACCAGCGTACACAGACAACATTGCTAGACCACAGACAGTCGTCCACTGAGTGCGGCGCTTGTGTTGCATGAGGCAGGACGACTGTGAATCGCTAGCTGGTCAATCGCTTCGTTGCCCACAAGAAGCGCACGTAGACGCTGCACAGAGTGGCGGTGAGGCGCTTGTCACTCGTGTGTTGCCCCTAGTGTGAACGGGCCTTAAGGACCACAGTGCCACAATCTCGTCACTCCAACATACATAAGCCATCCGCTGCTAAATGACATTTGCATACCCTCTCTACCATATAATAAAATACTCAATATGCCATTTAATATACTCATATTTTAATTATTTTATGCATGAAATAAAGTGTGCCTCTCATCTAGTTTGTAAAACCTCGTTGTATAGACCATAGTTTGTGTGTATAATATCTTGTTGAAAATGAAATTAAATTAATACGGTATTAAGAGCAATGGTTTTGAGATGAGTAAGAAAGTAGGTTGTGGCTCAACAGTAAGACTTTGTGGAGCCTGTGAATGCTTGGGTATTATGACGATGAGTTTATATCAATATAGTAGATTTATAGATATATATTACATCTATATATATATAGGGTGCGCCAGAGAAACTTACTTATTTGAAAAAATTCCTGCGCGGCGAGTTTTGCGGGTAGAGGGGCGAGAGAGGGCGCATCTGAAGGGGAAAGTTCCCAAGTTTGTTTCTTAAATAAATTTGCTGTTGTGCAAGAATTAACTGAACGTGATTTTGTTGCCCGTCAAAATGCATGTAAAATGCTGGTTGACAACCTGCCTGAAGACGCGGTCGTTTTTTTTTCAGTGGCGAGGCTCACTTCCACATTTCCGGCTGCGTTAACAAGCTAAACATGCGTTATTGGTGTGGTGTAAATCCATGTGAGTTTCACCAGAAGCCACTTAACTGTGAGCGAGTTACTGTCTGGTGTGCGACGTCGGTAATGGGAATAATTGGTCCTTATTTTTTTGAAGAAAACAACGCGCAGTTACCGTCAATGGAGCTCGTTACAGCAACATGATCGAGGAATTTTCTTCCAAGACTCGAAGAAATGAACTTTAGGAACGTGTGGTTTCAGCAAGATAGAGCCACAGCACACACAGCACGAGACTCGATGAATTTGTTGCGACAACATTTCCCCGACCGCCTCATCTCTCTCAGAGGCGATCTCCAATGGCCTCCACGCTCTCCAGATTTGACTCCTTGCGATTTCTTTTTATGGGGATATTTGAAATATCTGGTTTATGTCGATCGACCACGGACCATAGCACACCTCAAGAACAACATTCGCGACGCCATTGCCAACATACCGATTGATATGCTGCAAAGAGTGGATACGAATATAAAAAAATCGACTTCATCAGTGTATGCGCAATGGGGGTTGCCATTAATCCGATATAATTTTTAAGACTGTATGAAAAAAATTGGGAAATTGTATTCTCAAATAAAAAAAATTTGAAACAATCCTTGAAGTATACTTTTGTTTTTATTGACCTTTCAAATAAGTAAGATTCTCTGGCGCACCCTGTACTACGCAGCTATGAAGACAACGACTGAAAAATACAGCAGTCACCTTGACTTAGGGTGTTAGTGATGGACACGGTAGTGCACGACAGCTGTACAACTATAACGCATTGTTATTGATTTCAACGTCTAGGGTTAAAACTTTGGTTATAATCAAGAGTAAAGTTCCCAAAGGATTAATGTCAAATTCTAAATATATAAACATGTAAACATGTCCTGTCTTTCGAGTCTTGCTCGCTTCTTCGCAATTTCAAATATGGAGATGAAGTTTATTTTGGCTTTCGTCTCTTTAATAAAAAAAAAAACAGTATATCATGCAGGGTTGACAGTTGGCAATAGTGTCTTCAGTTTCCAAGATATTGAAGTTTGTGGAAATAATGGAAATAAGTGCTAGTTACAGACCAGAAGTAGAGGAGCGAGAGGACGGAGGAGCAGGCAGAGCAGAGAAGAGAGCAGAGCAGCAGTGCAGCACATACACGCCTGACACCGTCTCCTCTCCTGCACTGCTGCAGCTCCTGCACGTCGTGTCGTACTATTAAATAACCTTTAACATATATTATAATTATATCATTAAACAAGTTGTAGGTATTACAATCTTATAACTTCTAATATATCCAATAATTAAGTCATTAAACAAATTGTATTACAATCTTATAACCTTTAATATATATAATAATTACATCGTTAATCAATCATATTAAAGGTTTTGCTGAATAATCAACAATATTAAGTTTTTACAGAATTAATTAAATTAAGTGTTTCTAAATAATAATATTCAGATTATCGAATTAGTAATATTATTATAAATTGATATCTAAAATTTAGTATTAATTAATAAAATCAATATAATATATTAATGTAAAAGGTATTACAACGGGTGCATCGTGAGCTGGTGAAGGTGTCATGACAACGCTCCGAGTCGCTTGGTCGGGTGTATACAACTGATACTTAGTGCACGGTACATGGCAGACTGCAGTATTGTATCTAAGTATTGCCTCGTCTTCTAGCTAATACTTAGTGCACGGTACATGGCAGACTGCAGTATTGTATCTAAGTATTGCCTCGTCTTCTAATACTTAGTGCACGGTACATGGGAGACTGCAGTATTATATCTAAGTATTGCGTCGTCTTCTATCTAATATAAACTAAAAAATAAACTCTGCCAACCATTCTCATATCATAGTTATTTACCCATGAATGCTATAGATATCTGGAATCGAGTACAATATTGTACAAACCTTATGTTTAACAAGACACATAATCATAATAAACGAGTTAATTATAATAAGCAGGTTAATTATAATAAGCGAGTTAATTATAATAAGCAAGTTAATTATAATAAGCAAGTTAATTATAATAAGCAAGTTAATTATAATTGATAATATAATAATTACCCAGACTTGGCCGAGGCGTTGATGTTGCGTGTGAGGAGCTGCAGCAGCGGCAGGAGTCTGTCGAACACCGAGGCCTCGGACACCTCTGCCCCGCTACTGTACTCATCATCTGTACATGATACTCATGACATGACATGACATACTCATGACATGACAGATTCATGACATGACAGATACNTACTCATGACATGACAGACACTCATGACATGACATGGCAGATACTGATGCTGGAGTCATCATAGTATAGATGGAAGCTAAGCACAGTTCATGTATTCTGTAGACCTGCGCTGCATCTCATCTGGGAGCTATGACATACAATAAATACTTTGATATAATAAGTAAGATCCTAGATCTAACTTGAAAGGAAACAAAAAGCTATAAATTTATAATAATTACCTGAATGATTTGTATCTTTAGAAGTAGCAGAGAATATTAGCTTATTTGCCGAGGTGCTTCTTATCAGAACAATAGAATATTTTTATATCAAATAGGTATATCAAAATCAGCAGCAATTTGATGACTCGTCAGAGGCGAAGTAAAATAGTGAAATAAAAGCTTGATATAAGCAGGCGTACAGAGGTGAGCAACAAGTGCTGTGATGGCAGCTGTAGCGGCTGTAACTGCAGCTGCGTGTAGCAGGTGTGTGGCGGCAGAGCAGCTGTAGCATCTGCCACACATGTGCACCACGGCCTCCACGGCAGCTGTGCCTGCTGAGCGCACCGTCCACATGGCGCTCCATACCTGCACATGGCGCACTCGTTTCAGCACTTACTTATTTACTGAGGAATTTAGCTTTAACAGTAACTATGATTACTTTAGCCTCAACAGTGTGACTACTTTAGCATCAACAGTGTGATTACTTTAGCATCAACAGTATGATTAGTTTAGCATCAACAGTATGATTAGTTTAGCATGAACAGTATGATTAGTTTAGCACCAACAGTATGATTAGTTTAGCATGAACAGTATGATTAGTTTAGCATGAACAGTATGATTAGTTTACCCTCAACAGTATGATTAGTTTGGCCTCAACAGTATAATTAGTTTAGCCTCAACAGTATAATTAGTTTACCCTCAACAGTATGATTAGTTTAGCCTCAACAGTATGATTAGTTTAAACAGTATGCTTAGTTTAGCATCAACAGTATGATTAGTTTAGCATGAACAGTATGATTACTTTAGCCTCAACAGTATGATTAGTTTGGCCTCAACAGTATAATTAGTTTAGCCTCAACAGTATAATTAGTTTAGCCTCAACAGTATAATTAGTTTAGGCCAAACTAATGATGGCCCTTGCCATGATAATCCCCATTTGCTGACTGCTAAATAATGCAATAAGCATCAAATATTTCTTCCATAATGAAACATAAGCATTTGCATGGTAGTAAGATATTTTTCAAAAGAAGAACTGACTTTGAGGACTTGTGTTTGAGTGAGGACCGTGTGCGAGAGTATGTCCGCTGTGACGACCATGAACTGCGAGCTGAGCTGCTCCTGGGGGCTGCTCTCACAAGTGCAGCTGTGGAACTGCTTGTCACGCACTACCTGACGCAGAAGATTACTCTTAATTTGAGAGCCCAAATTTAAACGCAAAACTCAGTGACATCTCTTGAACAACACAGAAAATTACTCTTAATTTGAGAGCACACAAATAAACTAGACACACACACACATGCCACTTGTAATATGCATTAATTTATGATACTAAGGCTACAGCCACACTCATGCTCTAGTAACACATTAGTCATTTTCCTAAGCTGGTTGAAATATTTTACCAATTAAAAACTAGACTCATGAGAAATGTAAAAAGTTAGGTAATTTAAATATCCCTGCTTAATTGTATGGTTAAAAAAAATCAGCTGTTCAAAGTACACATGCATTAAGATCATCATGTAGAAGAAAATATCGAGGCAATATAAAATATACGTTTGTTTTGATCAAAACTGGGAACCTAATTAAGCAAAAATGGAGTTAAATAGGTACCTTATTTAGCCCTGAGACAGCAAGAGCCACCAGCTTGGTAGAGTGGGACTGCAGGGAGAGCTGCAAGGCTGTCAGGCACGTGAGACGGAGCTCATGAGTGGGCAACTGCAGCAGATCATTTCGGGAGCTCAGTACAGCTGAGGGCAAGAAATTATCATTAACCTTTTTGTTGGCAAGCATAGAAACATGCAGAAATTTGAATTTCTAGGGCCACTTAGTAAATTATGGAAATTTATATGATAATTTAACTCCTACTGATTTATCAAAATTTTGTAGGATATTGAAGAAAATTGTAGATGAAAATTCTGTAAAAAAGTGGTTTGTTTGCTAAACCAACTCAAAAATTTTCAAATTCATTTAATCAAATGCAAATAAAAACCATCAAGCTGAAAATTGATTCAATTTCATCAGGCAATTTCAAATTATTTAAATTGTTATTACTTCTTCTGTCTTTGAAAAAATGCCAAAAAAGTGTCAACATCCTTGTCCAAGCCAAAACTTTCATCTAAATACTCAGATTTCAATTCCTGGGCATGGCAGAAAATGATAACAAACCCTTAACATTAACCAGGGGACAAGAGGAGCTGATTGCAACAAGCCTCTCTCTATAAAGTTGAATGCATAAGAAACCATGAACAAATTACAATTTTTTTGAGACTTCAAACATTATTATTAAAACTTGAATTTATAAAATTTATCAGTGATCAGCAAATCAATCAATGTTAAGGCAAGAATAAAACCAGGGTTGGCATTGATTAAATCATTTGATTTTTTTATAAAAATCATGATTTTTTTATATTTTTTATATATTTAAATATATTGAGTGGCAGTCTTTGATTTATTTTTAGGTATTGTTATTCATGGTTTAGTATAATTGTACTATGAATGACAAATTGGTATATAAACTTGTTGCCTTTAGTGTGTATTAGGTTCCAATAAATTGAATGTTTTTGGTACAGAAGCATCAAGAGTGCAATACATTGTACGCAGCTAGCAGCTTAGCTAATTCTTATAAGGCTAAAAGTAGTCTTTCACTATTTGACCATTTGTTATATATTGATAACAATATACAATTTAACTGTGTTAGTTATATTATACAGGGTGGGGCAGAACAGATTGAGCAGTTTTGAGGCAATATAAAAGAGTAATGGAGGTACATAAAGAAGAAAGCTTATTTTCCCCAAGATTAGCATAACATACCATTTAGAATACTCATGTTTGAAAACAATATCAAGAAGGTAGTGTTTGTTAGCTGCATCACACTGTTGGAGTCGTTCTCAGAAATTTCCTACAGCACCTTCACACATATGGTGAGGTATGGCCATAACCTCTGCTGCAATAATCCGTTCCCTTAGCTGTGGTAGGGTGTAAGGGCGACTTCTGAACCCCTCTCTTTTAGATGTCCCCAAAGAAAGAAATTGCAAATGCTCAAATCAGGTGACCTTGCAGGCCACTGGTTTAGTGGGGATTCTCTGTGGTCTGGATGCCCTTTGTACGCAAAGTTTTGTAACTCACTGTAAGCTCGACACACTCGACATCGGGGTAGGACGACCTTGGTGTGCAGACTCAATGCTTCATTTTCAACAATGTTTTCCATCGTAGGCTGCAAGAAATTTTGCAACATTGCAGCATAGCGATCGGAATTCACTAGCACGGTTACTCCCTCCTCCGAGAACGACTCCAACAGTGTGTTGCAGCTAACAGCCCCCATTTTCCAGATATTGTTTTCAAAACATAAGTATTCTAAATGGTATGTTATGCTAACCTTTAGGAAAATAAACTTTCTTCTATATGTACCTCCATTACTCTTTTATTTCACCTCAAAACTGTTCAATCATTCTGCTCCACCCTGTATAAGCTAGCTAACACGTTTAAATTGTATACCTATTGTAATCAATATATAACAAATAGTCAAATAGTTAAAGACCACTTATAGCCTTATAAGAATTAGCTAAGCTGCTAGCTATGTACAATGTATTGCACACTTGATGCCTCTGTATCAAAAACATTCAATTTAATGGAACCTAATACACACTAAGGGCAACAAGTTTATATACCAATTTGTCATTCATAGTACATTTATACTAAACCATGGATAACAATACCTCAATATAAACTTAAGACTGCCACTCAACATATTTAAATATATGAAAAAATAAAAAAAATCAAATAAATCAAAATAATAAAAAAAATCAAGTGATTTAATCACATGATTTAATCATTTTGATTTAATCATTGCCATCTCTGCCTTGCTCCATACAAACTCTACAAACCTAATGAATAGACTTATCAATAATTGTTTACCCAAAAATTCCAAAGTGGTAAACACCACCTTGGTCTGTTGGCCATTATTGAGGGCAAAAAGTGCCCTTTTTAGTCATCCATTATGATCCATATACTGTTATTAGTGGGCTAATTGCAACATAAAAAAATAAACTTTCAAAAAGACAAAAAAACTGTAAAAATAAAAAATCAAAGAAATAAAAAAATCATGAAAAAAAATAAAAAAATCATTGATTTTTAAAAAATAAAAAAATCACCAACCCTGAATAAAACTAAGAAGGATAACAAGAATGCACTTGATCCTATATGTTGATATGAAAGTCTTACCTTTGGCAGCCTCAGCTGCTTGGCACACGGATGGAAGCCTCAGAGCCTGAGCTTCAATGACAATATCATCTAAAACTTGTTCAAGCATTCTGAAGACTTTAGGATGAAAAAACTCAACACTACATCCTAACAAATGCTACAAATAGAATAGAATAGAAGTGTTGGCACTGAAGAAATAGGCCCATGGCCTGTTGCCAATTCTTGTCCTTTTCTTTACTTGATTCCACAATGGATCCGGCCTTTGGAACCTGATAATTCCATAACTGACAGATTACATTATTTAGGTTTAAATTTAAATTTTCGATTTAAATCAACACCAGCATCTATATCTTTCATAGATATAGATATCATAACATTAAAATTCAAGTTCTTGTTGAGATCAAAATAGATTATAATATATATATACGGTATATATATACCGTATATATTTTGAAGCCAAATTGTTCCCAATCAGAGAAGGCATATAACAAAATCTTATTTAAATAAACATATTCATTCTAAGACTAAGTTCCTCTTATGTAGGTCCAATTTATATTGAAGCATTGAGAAAAACAGGAAGGTAACATTGAATACCTAAAATGGGGTGACTTAGACCATTTTTAGCACTTAACTTTTTGTGATACAAATGATCAAATAGTGAACATATAAAATATATTGCTTTATTGCATTTGCAGGGTATTGCATGGTACCAGTACTTCATGAGCCACCAACATAATTTTTCTAGAGCAAGAACTTTTCGAGTGTAGGGTTTCTTTTTTATAAATGTCAAAATGGTCCAAGTCACCCTGTCAATGGTCCAAGTCACCCCATCAATGGCCCAAGTCACCCCCTCAATGGTCCAAGTCACCCCATCAATGGAACCCCATCAATGGTCCAAGTCACCCCATCAATGGTCCAAGTCACCCCATCAATGGTCCAAGTCACCCCATCAATGTCCAAGTCACCCCCTCAATGGTCCAAGACACCCCATCAGTGGTCCAAGTCACCATCTAAATGGGCCAAGTCACCCCCCCATTGGTCGAAATCACCCCATTTTGCAGTACATTTGAAATGATTTTTTATCTTCATGTATACGTACAACTTATGTAGGCAATTGAAATGAAGCAGAATTACTTGATATTGCATAATAGCATCAACTCCTACATGCTATTCTACATACATCTAAAATTTTCATCAATGTATTAGCACCAAGTAATTTTCTGGATTATTCATCTGACAAACAGAAATGTGTATAAATATTTTTGGAACTACAATATTGGCATGTGATTTATTGGCTTATATCTTCAAAATATAAATACCATTAAACAGGGTAATAAGGGATGGGTGGGGTAAATCGGGACAAGCATCCCACATTTTGTAGATATGTTGTAGCAGCCAAACTAATCAAAATATTGCAAAACTAAAAATTGTGGAGTAAACTTAAAAATTTTTGCTATCTATTATGTATAAAGCTAGTTAAGAAATCATACATTTACTATCTCTAAAAAATTGCTGAAAAAAGTGTGAAAAGTGTGGTTTTGGAAAAATACCTCTACTAAGGTCTAGAGCAAAAAAAATATTTTCCCTATTAAAAAATTTTATTTACATAAAAGTTGCCCACAGGTGTCAGCTTGAAAACACGATTGACAAAATTTGCCTATCTCATTCAAAAAAAAAAAAAAACAAAGGCAGCCATTTCCGCACAACAGAGCAATAAGGGACTGTAGGGAGTAGGGACACCCCTAAAAACACATTTACAGCTTAAACTCAGTTAGCAAAGGCTCCAGTAGTCCAGTTAACAAGAATATTGATTAACAACAAAGAATTTTGATTCCATTTACCTTGCTCAGCAAAAAAAAAATTTCACTTACCAAAAAATTAATGCATCATCGGTCATCACAAAATTTTGCACAGAAAGTCATGTCATATATAGAATTGTGCACTGGGCATCATAGAATGAAAAGTAATTAACCTAAACTATGTTTTATTTCTACAAAACATATGATGATTGTTTCTAAAACATTCCTTTCTGTTTCAGGTATGTTTTTTACCATTTTTTTTCTATAGTGAATTCACTTAACCCAATTAAAATGGTATGAAATTACAAGCCATCGTGTAAGCTTACGCCTTACAGATACAGAAGAAATTCTATACAGACTCTAAAGTTAGTGGTAGACTGGTAGTCACTGGTAGTTTTAGTGCCAGCATTAGCAGTTCTTTGAGCAGGAGTCAACAGGCTCTCACTTTCAGATACCGTCAACTGGGGCTACTCAGGACGGGCGGGATAACTTGGGACGGGCGGGGTAACTCGGGACGGGTGGGGTAACTCGGGACAGTCCTCCAACATGGCCTAAAACTGTTTTATTAGCAAAACTAATTGGAATATTGCAAAACTAAATATAGTGGCATAAACATCAACATTTTTCCTATCTATGTAGTATAAAGGAAGTTCAAAAATACTACATTTACTAAATTACTAGCTTTGAAAAATTCCTGAAAAAAATGGTGAAAAACAATATTTTGAAAAGTTACTTCTGCTAAGGTCTGTAGTAAAAAAAATATTTGCCATATTAAAGAATTTTGCTTAGAAAAAAGTGGCAGACAAGTGTCAGCATGAAAACTTAATTTGCGGAATTTACATACCTCAATCCAAAAAAAAATGGCGGCCATTTCCGCACGGCAGGGCTACTCAGGACACACCCCCCCCCGGGGGGCTATTCGGGACACCCCCAAAAATGCATTTACAGTAGAACCTCAGTTAGCAAAGGCTACAGTTAAGAAAAAATTGATTAAAAACAAAGAATATTGATTACATTTACCTTGCTCAGCAAAAAATTTCACTTATCAAAAAATTAGTGCATCATCGGTCATCACAAAATTGTGCATAGAATGTTATGTCATATATAGAATTGTGCACCAGGCATCATAGAATGAAAAGTAATTGACCTAAACTATGATTTATTTCTCCAAAACATATTGATGGTTGTCACTAAAACATTCCTTTCTATTTCAGGTATGTTTTTCATGATCTTTTTATAGTAAATTCACTTAACCCAATTAAAATGGTTTGAAATTACAAGCCATCCTGTAAGCTTACAGATACAGAAAAATGCTATAAGGCTGCTGATATGAAGCTTGCAGTGGACAAGGTTGTTGTAAATGCTCAATGGCATGTTCATGGATATGGTAATATTGCATCAATAATACGGTAATTAATGTATATGGTAATATCATATCAATAAAGGAAAACAAGTAAAAATCATAGAAAATGTCATTTATTCTACCTCTACATCATCTACAAAAAAACTACAATGAAAGAGGAGGACTTCAGAGTACTGTTAGTAATGGATGAGTACACTCTGCATGCTTCAAATGTTTAAAAATAAAGTTCTATTCTCCAAGTGTACCGAGTAGCCCCGTTCAATGGGGGCTACTTGGGACACTTTTTTTGCTTCTGGCACCTTACGAATAGCATATGGAATTTTTTTGGGGAAGCCATGTGATACTGTGATAGCCCTTGCAAGTTGCAAAGAGCTTTGAAATGAGCCTATACTTGTTTATGAAATGTTTCATGGTAAGAAATTATGAATGAAAAACTTTCGAAATCGTCCTGAGTAGCCCCAGTTGACAGTACCGTAAAATGGGGTCACTTTGACCGGCAGGGTAACTTTGACCACTTTTCGTTTTTGTAACAAAAACCCCAAAACTTAAAAACGATTCGACATAGAAAAATTTTGTCAATGGCCATCAAAGGCCTAATACTAAGGCTACGTAACACAATAGAAAGATTTAAAAAGTTTGCATATCTAATAGGTTAAAAAATTAAAAATGTGACCCACGAAAAAGAGCTATTATTTAAAGCCTGTTGGAGTACCCCCTCCAATTCTTTTATTTTTTGGTAAAATAACTCCAGGTTTTGATGCATTGACCATCACGGCTGCCATTAGATGGTCACATTTTGCCCATTTGGGGGCGGCGCCCCCCATTTGCAAACTATGACACTTTCCTAAAATTTGTCTTTTGGATATGTAATTAGAAGAGTTCTACTACAATGCACCACAACCTGGAGTTACTTTACCAATAAATAAAATTGATTTTACCACCCAGTCAAAGAAACCCCAAGAGCTGGGGTAACAAAGACCATCACTTTTTTTGAAATTACATCAAAACTATGAGAGCCATGGTCAGGAAGATGTGCCAGGTGCGCGGGAATTTATTTTGTCATTTTAAAACTATGAGAGCCATGGTCAGGAAGATGTGCCAGGTGCGCGGGAATTTATTTTGTCATTTTAACAACCTGCGCAGTGCGCTGTACTATGCTGGTAAAAAAATGCGCCGTGCGCCGTACTTTAGAAAGCTAAAATAGTTCTACTATTTTAGTTGACAATATACGCAAGTATATTGACTACGCGAGTCGAACTAACAATAATAAAATGTAAGACATGTCCGGGTTACTTTTGACTCTTCCGCTTGTCCGCCTTGTCGGATACGGAATGTACGGTAATCGTAAACTGCGGCTATTATACATACGAAATGTAAACAGACAGTGTTCAGTGTTGCCATATGACTGGAGAAAATTTCTTCTAAAATAAAGTTCTGGATTTCTCATTCACCAAATTTCTGTATCAAGAAAAATCATATATTATTGAAAGATAATTAAAGGCATACTGTAGTGAGTAATGTGAGTATTATGTCTGTTCCTTCACAAACTGCTCGTGCGCGGCAGCGCAACGTAGAATTGATGGCCGGGATTGCGCAAACACGTGCGCGAAGGGAATCAATTTTCATTACATTGCGCCAAGTGTGCACAGCAATAGCTTAAAAAAAGTGAAAATGCGCGGGAAAATTCACCAAAAACATACATCATCCTGAGCAGGCATGGAATATATCTACTTGGCAAGCCGTGACTGAATTTTTCGAACCGTGGTTTTATGGATTTGCCAGCCGTGATTCCATTTCTTCGAGCTGTGATTCCATTTCACCGAGCCGTGAATTCCATATCTTGGCCATGAAAAGCCATTTATGTGGCGTGAATTTATTTACAAAGTCCATGCATTGTGGCAAAGCAGAGAGTTTTTTAGACTCTCCTACAAGTTCAATTTTGATTACTATAAGTAGACCAGTAAACTTGAGTAAAGTATCATGGATACCAGCATTATCATACATAAGAAATTGGTTTAAATATTGAGTAATTGAGGAAATTAAAAAGGCACTGATTCTAAAAAATCTCTGGTTTGCCACTATGGGTCCATCAGTCCATGTAATGATGTACATGTTACCCCAAATCTCTAATTTTA